TTTGCCACACCTTGGCCAAAAAAGGAGATATCGAGCTCAAACTTGGTCTGTCGATGGAAGACCATAGGGGCTGTACTGTAACATATACCTATTTCGTTTTTTTTTTTAATATGTTATCAACTGACCGGAGGTCCGACCGAAGGCCGGACGGGTCAGCATTAACCCGCGAGTTGCTGGGGGGGGGGGGGCGTTAAACGCCCCCACTTTTTTCGCCGGGCCATAGCAATCATAGCATAAAAACGGCGCGCCGCAGGCGCGCCAAATTTTGGGTAGGTACCTGTAGGGAATTGATTGAAGTGAATTGTGACAAAGTTTCAAAAAAAATCGGTCGGAAAATTTTTTGAGATATCGAGGTTTTAGTGACGTCATGATTTCTGAGTTTTCGACCAAAAACGGCATATGTTCAAAAAATCATATAAAATCACAGAATAGACATACAGACAGCCGTAAACGCCATTAGACTGCCAATACCATGATGAATCAAATGGCTATCTTCGATTATTGATTATCGTTCCGCATTTTCCAAAATCTTGAACTGAATCTTGACAATTTCTCGTGACTACTTCACGACCATGATACATGTATTTCTTAAATTGAACTTTTTGATCCAAACACGTACACATATGATAAAATGAATGTCACCATCGTGTTCTACGCCCCAAATTACCCATAAAACATGTGTCACAGGATGCGAATATCAGTTTTGATTTTCGGGGATATTTGCCTACCCGGTTGACCTGACCTTGACAGTCGGTGACACACCAGGGAAATAAGCTATTTATTTATTTATTAAGAGCGCTCTATTTATTGCTCCCGCTACTTCACCGTCTCCCATAGGGTCCTGTGTTGAGCTGGTGTCGAGGCTCTAAAAATGACGCCGATTTTTGCACCCTTCTCACGAAAACCGCTCGGACCGCCTGGAAACCAATTGTTCCGCTCTAAAAATTTCATGATCGACGGGAAAATAAATGAGGAAAAGATTGGTCCTGAAATAATTCTGAACTCCCTGTAGAACATATCGAAATATGGCTGCAAACTAGGAGCATGTCAAAATCGACATAACAATACAAATAAACTTACCGGGATTTTTTTATTTTCCATGCATCTGTATATGAAATCAGTCGGTTTTTCGGAAAGATCATCTTCTGTTTAATAAATAATTCCACAATTGCAATCGAGAAAAAAAAACATTTCCGCTGTGACAGCAGTTTTGGCATTGTGCCTTGATTGTGCCAGTAGTGTGGCGTGCGCGGTGCAGCGTGGTCGTCGGGACGGAGTTGTGAGTATTTTCGGTATTTTAAATGGTTGCTGGCCATTTGAACCAGCTTCATATTATTTCCTACAAATTTTTGCATCAAATTATTGCTTTGAAAGACCATTGAAACCCCTTATCTCTTCATGAAACACGATCATATTCATCGTCGACGAAAATGGCGCGGGACTCCATGTGCATTCCGATCGAAATAAATCGTAAATTAAATAATATTCGATGATAAGTATCATATTCTAGTGACACATTTTCATAAAATAAGGCATAAACTTTGCAAGAAAGTCAACATTGGATAATTGGATTCTTATTTTGCTCACATATCCAGTATCCTTGTAGTAGTCAAATGGCTCAATTGTTAGATAGATGTAAGTATATGTTTTGGCTTGATGTTTGCTGTGAAACCACCCAGCCACTTGCTGGTTGAGTGGTTTTCTGATAATTACCTGATAATCATTTCTCCTTTTCCTTAAAAGAAACTAAAATTCCTTTCAAAGTAATCCATTTTAAGGAAAGGCGGCTTGCTCATTGGCATTTCATGTTCTTGTTTTGTTATTGCTGGCAGTATTTTGATACAATAATGCAATATGAATTTTGTGCAATAATAAAACCTAAGACAAACTTAGTTAATGCGTCAATCAAACACCCAACAGAAAGATTGTGAGTCCTTGTGACGTGAAGTAGAATATTCTACGAATGTGTTGTATAGAATATGCCAAATATTAAATTAATTATTATTTGATACTGATAGCTGAGCAGGTGAATTATGCCACAATATAATTTCATTTTCTGGTTTTGAAATAGCCGACAGTATTTTACTTCAACAAATGTAATATACATGGAATACATGTTGTTATGTTACCTATGTTAAAAGTTTAAAAACAGCCAACAGAAGGAGCTGTTTCAGCAGATAATGTTTGTACCTTATGCATTACCTTTCTTTTCTGCAGGACCATGCTTCCGCTGGGTGGTGGACATTTGCCTCCTGAAGAAGTTGAGCAACATGAAGACCACCAGATGAGGTGTCTGCAGTTCATGTGGAACTCTGCAGACTACAAGTGTTATGCCAACCACAACCAAAGTGCTGTGATCATGGAGGCATGAACCTCATGACAACACTTCAGATTTGCAGTTGAACCAAAGTGTGATTCAAACGACCTGTGGCATCTCACTCAATGTGTGAACAGTGTGATTATTGTGCAGTGTTCAGCTGCAACTAAGACATTTATTAGTGACTTGTTTTGCAATTAGCCACCAAAAGCATTTTTTGGGCTGGCTGCCTGTAATTTGTTGTGCACTGCGCAATAGTGGTAGTGTTTTGTCACTTGTCAAGTTGTCAGTTGTGCATGTTGCATGTTTCTCTTCCCTCGGCCCTCATTATCTGAATTGGCATCACTCAGTCTCCCCAGATCTCCATTGACTGTCTGTCAACCACCTAACTTGAGATGGTATTTGCTAATAGTGTCAGAAAAGAAGTGATTGTAGACATTTTTAGGAATATGAGCTCCGTTTCATGCGTGTTCCAGTGGTCATTTTGTCACATGTCCCATAGTGTAATAAATGGAAACTGTTGTTCCCTTTTGAAGGTACTCGCGGATGCAGAAAGCGTTGGGCCTAATTATTAAACGCACCCTCCTATCAGCGACGCACGAAATCGACAAATATCATCCTTTTTAGAACAGGAGGAAACGAAAACTTGTGAACATAGCTGTACCTACAACAGTGCATAAGGAATTGAAATTCTGGGAGTTTTTGAAATTCGGAGAAACTCAAGTTGTCGACAGGTATGCCCCCTTGCACGTCAAAGACCGCCTAAAAAACAAACGTCTACAAATGGAGGCAGTATTCGTATGTTCGTTGTAATTGCAGCAGCCTAGCAACATGTATTGCGGTCCGATGGCGAATTACACTCGTGCTCAAAAACTATGCCGGTAACTGCCAATGCACTTAGGTCATAGGTGAGGAGAGGAAGGGTTTTGTCATATGTCAACATCATAGAAATGGCTTCATCTGAGCTGTGCCTAATTGTACATAATTCAACCAATCTATGCATTTCGTTTCTTGCAATCTACTCATGCTTTCACTCCAGCTTCAGAGTAATCATCCCATATTGTACGTCTTAAGATATTGATTTCTATGGCGGTTTGCAATTACTAGCCACGTCTCACCTCAGTTTGGTGGCCCCGCATCGGCCCACTCGGCCGCTCTAAAATTGACTTACGGAGGAGGATGGTGGCTTTTATTTTAGCTTCTCCGCCGACTGCGGGGAGCGCCGTCGCCGAGGTAGGAGCAATAATTAGCTTATATTTGAGACTAATTTCCACGCTTAATTAACATTTTAATGTTATTTTAATTAATTCATGTTAATCTTTGACGCATTCTCTTTCTATTGATACCATCCACCGGTCTGAGAATTACTGCCTTGCTGCGTAAGGGCCGATAAAAGATCACGCTTTTAGGGGTATCTCTTCAACATGGGGCAGGAGCAATAAATAGAGCGCTCTAATTTTAGCTTATTTCCCTGGTATGTCACCAACTGTTGACCCTGACCTATGCTTGACTGACCCCTACATGGAGCTGACACTCTTGTAGGCCTTATATGATGGATTGTGCATCGTTTTGACAGAGTTTAATTTTATGACGAGAGGCGCCCCCATTGCAAAGTCCTGAAGTCCATGCTACTGAAAGCCCGATTTCAGGTGTTTGACCTGACCTTGACCCGACCTGTGACCTCAAAATTCACCTATAAAGTACTCATCTGAAGCGTCTCGTAGCGTTCTTTCGTTTGCCGCCTCGTGCGTTTCGCTGCGCCGATTGGTTCTCGAGTTATCGGCTGGGGGCGTTTAACGCCCCCCCCCCCCCCCCCCAGCAAACGGTGGGTGGCGAAATACCCCAGCAACTGCCGGGTTAAAGGGACCCTCCCACCTTCAAAAAAGTTTATGAATTGGCATGAAAGTGATGTCGCTCGGTTCAGAGAGAGCGAAAACGAATATCTACCAAATTTCACCGAAAAATATTCGCCAGTTTTCAAGATATTAGACTTTTATTTTTGTTTACTTTTTTGGGATCTCCGCTGTTTCTAGCGACTTTATTTTAGAAGTGCGGCGTTTGCGGCAGCTGTTGCGCGCAAATAGCATATACCACCGCGTGCTACAAAACGTTTTAGTCAAACATTTAAAAATCGTTAGACATCTGCGCTGACGTCACACATTCAGAGGGGTATTCCTAAGCATTAGCCCCTCTGAATCAAAATGCTGCAATTTTGAAATTCAATATTTCTGACTTAAGGCATTTCTCGATGTTGTGAGTGCCGAAACCGGTAATTGTGAGCCAGGGACCCCGTTTTGGCTATCTCAACTCAAATCTAATGTTAATGTGGGAGGGTCCCTTTAATGCGGTTTCAGCTTGGGTTTCAGTGATGGTCAATTAAATTCAAAAGCAGTTTGTCTCGTTTTCTTGCTTGGTGCGGAGAAGAAAAAAGGTAAAAAGAACTAAGGCAATCTTGTGCTTTGAACAGTAGGAGAGCTATTATAATTTAGTGGTTTAAGAATTAAAAGGCATAGTATATACTGTTCAGTATTCATTTTCTTTATCAGCTTGCTGTCGGTCAGTTTGCATTTTTCGTCCTTTCATTGGCGTACAGTACGTAAGCAGTACTATAAACCAATGAGAGGCCAAGATACGCTAGCAAGTAAGTTCTCATGGATATCCTCAAACAGCTTGCGTTCCAAACACTGGAAGTGGACGAATGTTGGATTGGGGAGGTAAATAAAACACTCAGATTTAATCAGTAAGACATGGCTAATTTTGATAGGAGATAGCGAATTCGCCAATGAATCGTCTTTGAAGTTTTGATAGGGGCTTCAGTCAACACTCAACTCTACCGTTTGAATAGGTACTTGAGTCAAAGACCGTGAGCCAACCTGAAACTTCACATGTGGCAAATGTTAATTGATAATTTTAATATCAAATAAAATATATCCTTACAATGTAACATTTACATGACTTTACCCTAACCTCTTCTTCTACCCTAACACTGGGCCCTGTTTCAAGGCCTGAAGCTGCAACACGCTGCGCTACGGCCTACACTGCTGTGTCGGTGCAGTGTTTGAGCCAAATTTGCCTTGGCCCTCCAGTGTTGCAAGTATTCAAGTTGAAGTTTGCTAATTTTTCATGGAAGCCCAATACATGGCTACAGCTTGCTGTAGCGTTGTGCCTTGAAACAGGGTACTGGCTTACCAGTTACCACCTAAGCTTTAGTTTGATCCAAGTCACTGATATAATGTCTTATACTGATACAGACTGTGTGCATGTTGGTGCTCAGTTCATTCTCCCATCAAAATTGAAATACCTACATTATATCACATACGAGACAGATTTATTGTTAACAACTAAGCTTGTCCTTGTGAGTTCTGAGCAAAGAATCCAAGATATTTCGGTAAAAGTATACATTAAGTCCGAGTGCCTGTTAAAAGATAAAGTTTTCATATTCTTACATAATTTGACATCCTGAATCCAAAAATGATACTTATATGTCCTGGAAATAAAAGAAAACATAATCAAACCTGACCTAACCTTACCTATTTACCTACAACCTACCAACCTACAACCTACAACCTACACAAACCTACAACCTAACCTAACCTAACCTACAAACCTACCACCCTAAAACCTAAAACCTACAAACCTACAACCTAACCTAACCTAAAACCTAATTTTTTTGCTGTTACATATTTGTATCAACAGCGTCACAATTGTCCACTCGGACCTAATATATACTAATACCGATATTTCTATGGGAGGAATGAGACATGGGCGGTGTTTCACGGGACGCTGCTATCAAATTGCGCGAGCTGACGTCACACTTGTGGTAGTGTTGGAGCAATGGGCCTGTTGATGTTTCCATGGAAACACGGAATTTGACACGTGTAAAAGCAGCGTGCTGCTATCACCGGTGAAACAGGGCCATTACTAATTGCACATCTGAGGGCTGTGTTTTAGCCCTAAAGCTTTCCATGAAGTCGAAAAAACAAAGATTTGTTTCCAATAAATCATAAAAATGTTTAGAGCATTGTTTAGTTGCTCTAATGAGCTTTGGCACAATTATGCATCCAATGCAAAGGTGCGATAGTGTTTAATGTTTTAAGTAGGTATGTAGCAAATTATATTACAAAGAACATCCAATAAAACCATTGAATGGGTTTAGTTGACCATGATGGGAATTTGCCGTAGAAGACTGTTTCAGCTTGCAGTGCAGCACTGATGGCCAGTCAGCATCAGATGGATCAGTGTCCTCTATCTTTGTGCACCTGCTTGAGCTGAATGTTTGAAAGGGTCAGAGGCTTCAGTTCAGTGAACAAAAGCTCAAATTCAAAGGCTACTCATGCCATGCCTCCTCTGACTTTCTGTCTGTTTGCCACTGTTCATTTCACTTTGACACTCATCTTACGTACCTGTATTTATTTCAGTTTGCATGGATGCTTGAAATGGGAAATTCTAAAGGTCACAGAGTAATTCATCCACTTATTGTCGTTTTTCTAATTGCCAATGACCTTAGTGGGTAGTGTTAAAGCATTCAGTGTTTAAATGGCCCTGAATGGCCTGAAATCACCATCTCATCTATAAAATCAGTTAGCCCTCAACCATCTGTACTCTGTAGTATGGTCATCCAGAGTTCACCAACTGGTCATCCGACACCACACAACTTGAAACTTTTAACCCCACAGGGCCAGTATAAAGTAGGGCCCTACACCATTGCTTTTACCTCAGAGAGCAAATAATTATTGAAATTGAAATGTCAATGTTAAATCATTTTTAGCTCCAGGATGTCATATTTTAGCATTGGAACAGATCCAAATGTTGAATTTTATCCCAGAGAAAGGCTCTACTGAATTTATGAGAGCTTGGGAACATTCAGATCTTCTGGTTTGAGTTGACCCTGCATTGATCAAACCATCACACTTTGGCGCTTATGAGAAATGTGCCTAATAAAATACCCAATGAAGTATTATCCACAAGCCAGTTGACCTCAGAGCTCATTCTATCTTGAATAAAAGAAAACATTTAGCCACCACAGAATAGCGCACAATTTCCAGTTTTCTCTCCAGCCTTGCCACGTAGAATCCAGTTACTGATTCCCGAAGCTATTCTCTGTTTTGTCGAGAGTTACCCCAGAGAGCACAACAAAAACGGCTTGAATAATTTGTACCTCGGTTTGCCTCAAGAATCGGGCTCAGGTATTTCAACTGCAATTTTAGGCCAGGATTTCATTTCAGTCTGTAGTACCTAGTGCTTTGGTAATATTTGATCAATGTATATTTATTCTGTTTACACTTTTACATACTGACAGGTTGGCTTCATAAACAACCTAATGAATCCTACATTAAGTTCACTGTTTGTTGAACCCATTGCATCAGTTTTAATGAAAATGATACACTGATTGTCATTATCACTTTTTCGTCGTATGTTTCTGAGTTCTTTTTTTTGTGTCCCTTTCCTTCACCCTCACTTTCACCCTCATCCCTTCTCATTCTTTTCACACGAGCACACACACATCGCACAGCCCAGATTCCCTGGTCACAGACCACAGGTGTCTCATTACACCGCACCTTTGGTGAGGTGCAGCGACGCAGTGCGTGAGTCTCAGTTTCGTGCCGAGTGTGCTGAGAGTGGTGCGATTGAAGCCGTTCCCGTGCTTGAGAACACATATGGTTGATGGCTGTGATGAGCATTGTTAGTATTATAGTTGTAGTGATGATAAAATAGCCTTTGCTCATACTTAATCGAAAAATGACGAAAAAACAAAATATAGATAAAGAAGCCACAAGGGCGAAATATCAGTCTCTTTATATATATTTTGTTTTTTTCGTCATTTTTCGATTAAGTATGAGCAAAGGCTATTTCATCATCACTACAACCATTCCCGTGCTGTTTGACGCATGTTGTAGTGGCTTATTTTAGGTAGAGCTTGAAAAAGTGATGTTTGTTGAAGTCAGACCGTGTGTGTCATATTTTGCGGTTGTGGCCTTATTGTGTCTTATTGTCTTTGTGTCTTATTGGGTGGCTGTGACCTTTTTGTGGTTGGTCATGGTGTGAGTTGTATTGCTTGTGTGTATCCATGTGAGTTTGTAGGTGCCATCATACTTCTGATACCAAAACCAAACATTAACCGTATGCTTTTCTGTTTGCTTTCAGCTCTATGCTCCACTACTGCTTGCCATGACATTGGTCAAACGTGACCCAGCCGTAATCACCGCTCCTGGACGGTGACCTGACCTGGGTCACGCTAGTTGACCCAGTTATGGCCGAACCAATCACCGAACCATACACCGCTGCCACCTCCAGCAGTTTCATCACAGTGGCGGCAGAGGCAGCCACCGACTCCGCCGACCTCCTCGAATACAGGTCCAGTGGTGACGTCAGACACTGGCGAGGTGATGACGTCATCAGTTGGTCTGATGAAGAAAACGGCGGGGCAGTGTCTGGTGAAAGTGACGTCACACAAGTCAGTGAGAAGCGCGGTGGGTTAGATGACAAAACTGAGCAGAAAAATGATAGATACGTTACCGATTCTCAGGACAGCAGCGATGACGCTAAGCACGGCAGTGAATCCACGTCACAAAGTCGCCACAAGGTCTCAGAAAGTATTAACCAGGTTTCTTCTGAATCTCGCCTCAGCTCGACTTGGCAGATACCAAGTGAAAGTCCAAGGCTAGCAACAAGCAACCCTACTATTGAACTCCTCCTAACCGCCAAGCCTTTAGAGTTAGAAACTGTGGAAGGTGACGGTAGTCTGGAGACTGGCAGTGGACTATCCACAGTGGACGAGGTGGACGCTGTCCACCCCCGCCTCTCCTCCGGCAGCGCTCGTCGCCGGCCCTCCCATCCTGCCTTCGTTTGTGACACGTGTTCCCGCGATACGGCAGGCTGGCAGGACTGTGTGGACCACGCCTATCGCTCCGGACATGGCCTGGCCGCGCGCTGTGCCCTCTGCCGTCTACCAGCCGTGCGATGTCGCAGAAAGGGTCGGCCTGGAGTTTGGCATCGCTGTGTGGTGACCGACACAGTTCGGAAGATGGGCGTGGGCAATGTGGCTGCCTTGATGGCTGGGTCGCATCTGACTGCGCCAAGACCGTGGAGGTTGAGCTGTGGCGAATGTGGCGCAGCGTTTGCGGCGAAGACGGCGCGACTGGTGCGTCACGTTATAGAGCGAGGACATTCAGTGGAGAGGCATTGCGAGAAGTGTTTGTTTCCCGTGTTTGTGTTTGCGCTCAATGATGAACGCAGGGAGATGCATGTTTGTGTGGGGAACTCTGCCTGGCTGAGGAAGGAGGAAGAGGCTCTGCTCGCCACAGCAGGGGACGATGCGCGGTACCTGACGCACTTCAGCGAGAACGGCGAGGAGAGAGGGCAGGGACAAAGGCAGAACGGAGGAACACCAACCCATCACCATCGTCACCACCACCGCCACAGTCACACGGGACTCGATCACCATCACGAGCACCAAAACGGCGGCATCTGCCGTCGTTCTCAAGGCACTACTTCCAGTTACCATCAGAGTAGTCCGACCAAGACTTCCAACGGTAGTCCGTCATCTCACAACCATCAAACCAGCATCATCACCGACAACGGCGGCAGTGGTGACGGCGGGATGGGTGGCGTGGGACACTCTAGTGTTCCCCTCTCTGGCGGGAAGCTCGTGGTACCTCTCACGGCCGGTACGGATCGCCGCTGGCCTGAGGAGCGAACGGCATCCTGTGTGGCGATTTGAACCCGAAAAGTCGTCTCGTAATATTTAGCGAGGTGAGTTTGGGGTGACGGGGTCGAAATGGGCCTGGGGAGGCTCCGTGCTGAAGGGCGATACCCTGCATCCCTCGGGGTGACATCTACATTCTACAGGGTGAAGTTGAAGACACTGTTCGAGATGTGTTTCCAAGGCAGCTATCCCCGTAGCAAATTACTGTCACAAACTCCCAGCCGCGTCTTCCTATAGTGCAACCCTGCATATCACCCGTATAAGGTCCAGTTTAGAGCGTGAATACGGTCACAGAGTGTGTTGGATGAAGGGTTTTTGCTTTTGTTGTAGGTATCAGGGAAATGTCACGATCAGGTTATGTCATGGTCAGATTTTTGGTGCGTGTGTCGAGATGTTTTTGGGAAACGTGTCGGAGTTGTTTGGTGCAATAGCGAGGCGAGGGTAGTTAGTCAACACATGCATCAGTTTTAATTCGCCATCTTATACCAATTTCTACAAGCTCATTTGGTCATTTTGCTAAAGCTATTTTTGAAACGCAATGTCAATTGTCAAACATTCTTGTTGAAAAAAGTAATTACGAATCTACCAACAGCTTTACTTCTTAGTTGTTCGGTATTCACTGCTGAATATGGTATAAAGTTACCATTATGGACGGTGGTGAAGTTACTTGCTCTCATGGGTACTTAACTGTTAATTTTGTTCTTGGTTAGGGTTCTGGGCTTTGTCAGTTGCACCAAATGTTAAAGAGCCATCTCTTTGATGCTGCCGGACTTGTTTCAAATTATTAACATTACCCCAACCAACAGCCAAATGTAGCAATTTAGTTCACAATGTAATCGATGTCTCAAAGCTGTACCCTGTTATTTGTACCGCTAGCTCCGTCTACACACGTCAATGGCTGCGGTAGTAAATAAAAATATATGCAAGCTGCGTACCTGTTGACATCCCAAATATCGGGCTGCTCTCAAGAAGCGTGTATGAATATTGTAATAGGATGTGCGTAGTGCCAAGTATGTAGTTGTTCTATTTGTAGCTATTTATCGGACAAGGGCTTTCTTCCTAGCTTCTAGTAGTCGGCATGAATGTAGTGATAGTGCTAGAGCATATGCTTGCCAGAATTGCAAATGCACATTGTTACGGCACGTATGTCGCTTATGTCAGGAAAGTTTCTGTTATTGGTTCTGGGAAGTGTTTTTGGGCCAGTGAGACATAAGTTGCTTTAGGTGACTGTTTCTGAAATCATGGAGTGTTTTCGTTTCTGAAATTTGTATAACTCTTGTACCTGGTTTGGTGGGCTATTTTGATTTGCTCAATGTTAATTGTTGGCCTATTTTTCGTGTGCTTATCGTTATCGGTTTGTTTTATAACCTACACAACAGCGTGCCAGTTAATAACGAAATGACACGTAAGCCTTGGTGGAACTGTATCTATGCAAACATATCGCACTTGCGCTCTTCGGACTGTTGAGCACCTGTTGTCTTCCCGCCAGTTATCACGAAATGTTGGAACTATGCGATACGTTTTCGCCTTTCCCATGCTTCTTTTTACTCATGCCGCACATCTTTTCAGTCACTTCTGTCCGTTCATCTTCTGAACTTATTTATTGCTTCACATCCATCGTAATGATTGGTCCCTTCTTTCGAATGTAATAGACAATGGACATATTTGACAACTAATGTGTACACAGCATACGGATTAAACAACCACAAAGGTACACTGGTGGTAAATATACGTTGAAGGTTATCCTGTGTTTGGGTTTAGTGACCGCGAACGACTATGCGTCGCGTATGAATGGAAATCAGCTGGAAAAACAGTGTACTGTGTGTAGTGGAGCACTGCTGTGTTCGATTCGACGAATGCCCGTCGACCCACGTCAGTCTAGCTGATGAAACGGTGATTACGCTGAGTTTTGGGCACATCGATGACCTATGTTATCGACGCAACCACACCCCCTACCCTAACCCACTTAAAAAAGCGGTTCAGCTCATTACCTTATAACACGCTCCGTTTTTTCATACTTACATACACACTGCATTTGTCCTTGTATAGGACAAAATGACAACTATGCATAAATCCCGTAATGTATTGGTAGTAGTGGTGCCAATTTCATGAAATTTCAATTCCAATTCCGATCCAATTCCAAGAAATTGCCAAGTAGATTTCCAATTTTGTCCAAAGCGGGGGCTATTCCAATTTTTAACGATTTTTGCATTTTTTGCGTAAATTTTAAAAGTGTTTAAAAGCGTTTTAAAGGCCTCCGTTTTAAAATTTTAAATTTTAAAGGCCTTGTGTTCCGATTAATTTCCAAAAAATGTTAAGAATTCCGTCCAAATTCCAAATTGGAATTGGACAAAAATTGGAATTCCAAGAAAAGAAATTCCGATTGGCACCAATAATTGGTAGACCCTTTTGCTGGTGGTAGACGTATAGACAATATACATATAGACATACTGCCCGGAGCATAGGGCGGTGAGTTGCTCGCTTTTTCCGTTGGACGTCGGTAGACGTATAGGTATGACTCACAGCTCGGCACCTAGGACGGTGACTTACTCCCGTCTGCCCCTCAGCCCGTCATGCGTTATCGCTCTATGCCGACGACCTATGAGCGACTGATACGCGTTACCGTCAGTGCCTGCGGCGTGCCATGGGCGGCAGTTTTTAGTGCCATGGCTAGTTTTTAGTGTTCAGTGCTCCCTACATCGAACTACAAACCTGCTAGTCTTCTGTTTGTGCTAGCCTGCTACAGGCGTTCATGACGACTGGTTTTGTTGCTCCTCTGCCTGACCGCTTTAATTGCCCTTGCCAACGAACCGTCTACTCTGACCGACCAAATCGATTCCTTTCACTTCTTTCTTCCCATTGATGGCAGCATCATTCTTTTCTAGACTCGCCTGATTCGCTGGTCTAACTCCGTCCTTAAGCGATTTTCTATCGCTCTTCATTTGGCATCCCTCTCTCTTTCCCTCCCGTCTCCTTCCGGTTCCATCCCGGCGATTATCTCCACTTCCTGCCTGTGATACAGCGACCCTGAGGCCGTCCCGTGGCCTCCCCGGGTTCCCCGACCCCTTCTCCGGCGCTCACGGACGCTGGGCGTCCTTGGTGGGGGCGCCGGCGCCCCGGGCGCCCAGCTGAGCGGCTCCTGACGCCCAGTAGTCTCGCTGAGTTGGTGTGGCAGAACAGTTGAACGGAGTTCGGCGGTGACAGGCGTGCATAACGCTGGAGAGACGCGACTGATACAGGTGAGAGGAGGGAGGGAGGGGGAAGAGAGAGAGAGAGAGAGAGAGAGAGAGAGAGAGAGAGAGAGAGAGAGAGAGAGAGAGAGACTGGGAAGCCATGTAAATGTTTGAGATTGTTTCGTACTTACGACAGTTACGATTACGCTAGTACCTACGGTCCACGGATTGTCCGGGCACTTGCGGCTTTCGTTCTAATGGGAGCCGTTCCTCCTATTGACTCTTGATAAGGTCAGAAAATTTAACTTTTTCTGGTCATCGATATAAAATCCAAGATACCTATGCTTCATGCACTCCGCATAACGTTCATTCATGGCGTTTATAAAGTGGTCGTTTAATGTCCGTGTAACTAGCTATTTCCCTAATTATGGAGGATAGGGGAGGGTGGAGCTATTGTAAGGGCAAAATTGAGCGCGTCAGAGAGTGTGTGGAGCGGCGGGCCGGAGAACCAGAGTGCGCGTTAGGCCAGTCCGCCGTATGTTTGCCTCCGGCGGGAAAGGCGTGCCCGCCGGGTGAAAGGCAGCGGCTGGCCGGCACCTGGGACTCGCGGGCCCGTCTCTCGTGGCATTTGCCAGTGCGGTGTCGTCGGGGCAACACCTTTCGGTAAGCGAACTTTTCCCTCCCCCCCTAAATTAATGCCGCAGCGCCCAGGCGCTGCGGAAGTCCCCGACAAATGTCCTGGATTTCATTTGGCTTTCCGACCCGCCGCAAATAGCGGTGGGCACTGCCGTTTATATCCAGGACAGTCTCACCTAAATTATATTCGTCGGCGCGGCGCGTAGCGTGAATGAGTGTGCGTTTGGAGGTGTGATATGGGTAGTGTGCGTGAGCGTAAGTGTGTGAACCATAAATGCCCCTGGTCTAACGATACGAAAATACAGCGTAATGGAATGTGAGCAAAATATTTCATTGGGGGAATGGCAGATGCCGGGCTGATACACGGTGAACGTGAACGAACAATCATACGGGCCGCTTAGTTTAATACACCCGGGTGGCAGGCGGGCATTGTAGAGTAACTTTGGTTAACGTAATGTCTGTACATGGGGGGAACCAATAAAAGGTTGCAGGTTCCGATGCATGAAACCCCTACATAAAAAATGGTGCATCGGCCGGGAAGTCTTTCCCATCGGAGGTCCGGACGCCCGAAGTGCACCTCCCGCCGCAATCTGTGATGCTCGATGGTAATAATTCCGCTCCCGACATTGGTGTACATCGGCGCCCGGGTGGTAATTGCCGCCTCCGGGCTTTCATTGCCGGTGTTCAGCACAACGGAGGGCCTGGCTCCCCGGGGGAACCCGCCGCATCCCTCCTCCTTTGTCGTAGTGTAGGTCGATGGGAGGTCTGGACAATACCCGGTATTGCAGAGGCGCGCGGGGTCAAAGGGCAACGAGGTGGGCGGCTATTTCCGCTCCCTTGGAGGAGGTTACCGGTCGTGCTGTTCTTACTTTTGGCTTCAATATCTTGTGTAAATCATTGCTTCCGTACTTTTCGTCACGTTCACACGCGTGAATCAGTCCAATTAAGGGGGGCATGGGGGGACAATTTGCCACCGCAATAATGAGATGAGAGATGAGGGCAGTCGGTTCGCGCGAGACCGTCGGAGATCGGGGATGAGATCGACGAAGGTCGGCGGTGCGGAAGAGTTCGCTCGGGCGGAATGGAGTCCGCTTGTACGCGAGATGAGTGCAGTCGCGTCGCCGTCGGTCGCGCGCGAGCGTGCAGGTTCGCCCGGTCGGCGGAATCATAGAGTCCGGTGACGAGCCGTCACCGCTGGGAGTGATGGCGACGAGAAAGTCGTCACCGGTGAGTACCGAGGGCCGCGAAATACCCCGGTATTTCAGTGTTACAGGTGTGGGCGTATGATTGGATCGTTTGGTGTACAGGTATGTTACGGTTGGTGTGATTGAGTTAGTGCGAACAAGGTCATGTGTGGTCACGAAAAGATGCGGAAAATTGAATTTTACTTATTTGTCATCAATTTGCTTTCATGATTAGTAATCAATTTGCTTTCATGATTAGTAATCAATTTGCTTTCATTCATACACCTGATTTAACTATGTAGCAAATTGCTTCATGTGTCGCCTGTCATTCACGCCTCATAATGAGACCATAGAGGCTTTAGACATTTCCTGCAATTGCTTGAACAATCGTTTAGACCACAGGGCATTATATCTATAGTCTTAAGTGCAGTGCATCTTTGCTGTGCATATTAATTGTATCTTAAGATATTAATTGGAATGTCCATGGTTTTACGGGATATATAGGCATAATCGGTGCAGTGGATCGGGGAAATTATGGTTGGGTGTTTTTAAGCGGAGTTTTTAAGCGGGGATGACGATCCCTCCCGTAAAGCCGTGCACTCGGTGCACCTTGTGGCGCTGACGAGTTGCCATTAGGACGGCATCGAGGTTGTGCGTGTTTAAAGCGGGCAAGCTTAGCTCGGCAGCGAAGCCCTGATTAATTATTACCCCACGTTACACCAAGATGAGCCGCACATTCTGGCAGCTGCACCTTTTATATCCGGAACCCGATGTCAAGGTCTGGCGCAAGGCGGTGCACGCCGAGCACATTCTCCTCTTTTTTAATCCAGGGAATGGATTAACGCTTACGGTTCATTGCAATTTCTTCTGATGCAAACGTAAAATGTCTTGTCAAATCTTCAATGTTATGTTCAAAGTAGTTCATTCGTTCGTTCATTCCATGCATTTTTGCGTTGCAATTTTGCTCAAAATGTGGTAGCGATAACTCAACTAAGTTCAGTCACGAACCAGAAACAAGTTCTAAACAGCTTTGATTCCAGGTTTAATGGCAACATTTATTAACCAGAAATTCTTGAATGGAGCGCTGAGTGCTCATTTTAATGTGCCCGCATTTAAATTCCGATGCATTAGTTGGTTTGGTATTTCCAATGTTAAAATTACAGATTATAATTAAATTCATTTAGTAATAACGGAAGAACCCAGTGCCTCTGAACCATTTCATACCGATTCAGTGAGGCGGTATATCTTGAACTATTTTCGGTTTTGCATTGACAAATAATCCGAGGAAATTAATCTCTCAGGATTTTTCAATCCTCTGTAAAATCCTGTCACGCACAGATCATCACTTTGCCGTCAAGTGGAACCTAAATCATCGCTGAAGTAATTTAATTTGTTCTGTATAGAGACGAGCAAAACATGTGTTTATTGGCATTTGCGCTTCTCGAGAGAGGGCCTCTATGTAGTTGGATTTTAATGAGGATATTGGAAAGAGTACTTGAAAATGCACATTAGAGGCAAATACACTTGAATCTACGTGGCGCGGATTCTATCCGTCGCGACTGCACATGATATTTGAGTCTCCAACCGAAGCTGACGGCGATTTACGTTCGGTGGGGCCTGACGCATGATGAACGTTTTAATTCTTTCGGCAATTAGGGAATGTAACGGAGCCCCAGCTAAGGCAAGCTTAGAATTGTCCCGATCATTTTAGGACAGCAGGCGAGACGTGTAGCGGCGCGCGGTGACGCAAAGCCCTACATAGTTGCTGAGTCGACTCCGTTTGGACTGTCGCTCCAGCAAATTCAACAGCACGGGCCTATCCCGAGACTTTCCTGGACGGTTTTAGTCTTGGCGCCGTCGTGCGCTGCCACACCAGTAACGGGTGATTTCATATGATGTATAACATAGCATGTGCCACATTGTCACTTGCCAGTTCTCGCGTGTTGTACAGTGCATGTTGCTGTACAGCACGGGTTAATTTACTGTGAAGCACATGTTGTATTTCATATCATATCATATTCCTGAGCGGTGTGTGGGTGCCCGGTTTAGGCTTCACTATCATTGGCCCGAGGGCAAATCGGATCCGCCAGATTGCCGATATCCACCTGCTCAAGCAGACGGGTTGGATCCGACCCCCGTGCTCCCACACCACGCGCACCTGTCAGCGCCCGGGCCGGCGCCGGACCGAGCAATTATGGTCAAGCCGCCGCGCCGCCCGCGCAAGGGGTGGCAGGTCCGCGGCGGGGCCCTCCCCGACCGTCCCAGAGAAGGGACGCATTCCCATCGTGATGGGATCGCGCCGCCGGCCATGGGATCGAGCCGGTCGCCACGGGTAGGCCACCCACCCGACCGAAGGCGAGAGCCGCCACATGCACGGCCGATCCCAAACGCCTCGGGGCGGGACAACCCGCGCCCCGCAGAGCGAAGGTCCGCCAAGGAGCAGCGGCGAACCGGGCCGATCCGCAATAACAACACCGGAGTCATTGGACTCGCCCGTCGCTGGCCGCCTGCTGCCGAGCACTGCACACCCCAGACGACGGTGGCTTTGTGTTGCCGATTGATTCAAAACCAATGCGGTCATTTTGATGTCTGAACGCTCTTTGATATTGACTAGTACATCATCTTGCGGCCATGCTCCATGACATCCATAATTTTGGAAGATAAGACTTATCGTTCCGAAACGGACCAAAACGAAATAATTGAAACCAAAATCAGTCAATGCGTCACCGAAACCTTCTGATTAATCGATATACGGCGCCATGGCCGCCATCATCCTCCTGGAAAGTTGATAGCAAAAAGCGCCTCTTACGGCAACAATTAGCGTAGGTATAGAAAGGGACATTCTTCATACAAAATGTTCGGTTTCATATTCTCAATGAGTGTCCCGGCCATATTTAGCAAAGTGAGCGATACGCCAAAACGGGTGTCATTCTTATAAATTCGCATTCGAACTGCGTGTGGCGTTCTATAAGTTTTGAACATCGATTCGTAATGCACAATTTGCTCCAGGTTTTGTCAGAGAACTTATTTGTTTTAACGGCAGCATCAGAGCTGAGGCAAAAGAACTCAGTGCGGTACAATAAGTGTATCGTCTGCCAATCAAAATTTAGCATCAGCAGTTCTGGTGATGTTTCAGGAGAACGGTCATTAGTGTTCTCATTTACCCAGCATTAGTTCCTTGGGAATGACTCCAGGCCCGAGCGCAGTCACCTCGGTGTGGTGTCTCCGTCATGGAAAGGCTCAACAGCCCCCGCACCCACACCACAGGTGCCGCCGTCCTCAGTCGGTCGGCAGGATGGGCCGGCGTGCCGCGCCTCGGGCGGCGTCGCTGCGCCGTTCCCCATCACTCGGTGACTAGCCGAGTGAAGTGCGTGCCGCGCGGCGCCGCACTGTGCGTAATCACGGCCGGACCCTCCCTACCGCCACCGGTACCTGATCCGACTGGACTGGCCCCTGGGCCGATTGGACCGGATACCTGGGTCGGTCGGACCGTCAAGTTGGCCGACTGGGCTGCGCACCTGAGCGAGGGGCTAAGGGTGCTTTCACCGGCCTGTGGGAGTTCGGCCGGGTTACTGACCCTCCTGGCCCACCACCATCAAAACAAGTCCACCCTCCGCCGTTCGGCTGGCCAGCCGGTAGAGGGGAGATTTGAAGGCTGGACGGGCCACAGCCGGCTCGACCTATATTTGCGTACGTTTATTTAGGAGCGCTCTGCGACGCGAGCAAATGTATCATATAACCGTACACATTGGATGGAGATGACTAAAGCAATTTAACTGTTGGGGGAAAACGATTAGGGGAAGTTTTCGTTCAGATTGATAACTTTTGCCGGAGGAGTTTGACGCCCATTTGAATTTCAACCGCTCATTTATATTATTCCGATCTTTTCGCGCACGAACACGGGAGTGAATGGAGCCTCCGCGCGGCCTGGCCGTCTGGGATCCGGGTAGGTCCCTAACTCAGCCTGCCAGTGCCAAACAGCCCTCCCCTCCGCCGTCCGGCTGATCACCCGCCGGAGGGGTGGCCTCTAAGGTGCTGGGAGTGAGGGAGGCACCTCGCCCCAGATCTATGAGGCAGCGTGGCAGTGCTGCCATTGGCTATTCTCCCCGAGGGGAGGATGGCGCAATGGGACGCTGACTGCCGAGGAGTGAACAATATTGAGTGGTATGTTGAGTGCGAATCAATGGTAGTGGAAGTAGGGTGATGTGTTAGGTATGAATTCGATGTGTATCAATAGGTGTAGGCATGTGAATGTAGAATTAGAATGCGCCGCGCGCCGCGAGAGACAAAGAGGAACGTGCGATCAGGAATCGCGCGCTAGAGAGACGCGCGACGAGGGATCGCGCGCGAGAGAAAGAGAAAGAGAAGATAGGAGTCGCGCGACGAGGAGACGTGCGAAAGGCATCGCGCGGAAGGCGTCGCGTGAGCTAGGCAGAATGAGCGCGAAAGGAGGTAGGTACTCGCGCGGTAAGAGAATCGCGCAATGGAATTGCGCGGTCGACGAGCGTGGTCCGACGATGTGTCGTCGGAAAAAGAGAGGAGGAGAGAGGGGCGCGCCGGCGCATCGCGCCGGCGTTTCGGCCGCGACGTCCGAGGAGTGGGCGGCCGCCGCGCCGTGGGTCGTGGGGAGGGACGGGGCTGGGGAGGACAGGGCAGGTGTTTGATTGTGTTTGTCCGGGCACTGGGGAGGGATGGGTCTCGGGCTGGGGAGGGAATGTGTTTGCGCGGGTGTGGGACGGGGACAATGACCGGGGTTTGGGAGTATGACCGGGGGAGGACACTTAAATGACTAGGGAGAACCGACGAGCGGCGGACGCGTGGGAAGGAGGACGTGAGGGGAGCGAATGGACTGACGAGACCATGACTGGGGTGAATGAGCGTATGGGGATGGGGAGACATGATTGAGGTGAAGGAGCAATGGATTGTGAGTGAGTGAATGAATGGGGGAACATGGCCGAGGGAACGATAGAAGCGGATTGCCTGAGTGGAATAGAATAGAGAGATGTGTTGGGAAAACAGATGCAACAAAAGGGAAGGGACAAGGAGACATTGGCCTCGAATTCCTGAGCGAGCAAAGGCGTGTCGGGAGCGGACTTTCCAACCGCCCAACCTAGACATTTAACCTAATTACACGCATTTGCCCCGTACCCTCAGGTATTCCCGGTCAATGTCTTTGACGCATGGACGGGCATATGCATGAGAGTGGAGAGGCAAGGTGGAGGAGCAGGGAAGTGGAGGAGCAGAATGAGTGAATGAGTGAGATGGAGAGAGAGAGAGAGAGAGAGAGAGAGAGAGAGAGAGAGAGAGAGAGAGAGAGAGAGAGAGAGAGAGACCACCAATTAACATACCTAAGTGGTGGATAGTCGGGCATTGGGCCCGATTTGGGTTATGCCTGTTCTTTCGACTATGGGTAGATCAGTTCCTGGCGGACTGGTTCGAGGTTTCGCTATCACTAATAAAAAAACCCACATTCCATTCAAAATTTATCGGACGGTGATTAAGTTATGAAAGTTTCCCACAGTATCGTGATGTTTCGAGTATAAAAAGGTTAAATAATCATGTTTCATGAGCACCTGGGAGTTAAATTTGTCGATTATCGTAACCATGTGTGCTGCTGAGTGCCGCGATGTATGTGTGTGTATGCCGCGATGTATGTGTATTGTGTATGTATGTGTATCGTAAGGGCGGAATGATGAGGGGAGGGGAGGACCCTGCCCAGTGCCCGCCCACAGCCACGTCGCCCAATTCGCCAGCGCCCAGCCGCCAGCATGGAGCCACCGGCGAACAGCTGACCTCGGCGGTACGACCGGGTGGTGGTGCTCCGCTGTCCAGCTCGCCGCGCGGGCCATCAGCCACTCCGCCGCTCCCCGCGACGGCAAGTGCCGTGGCAAGTCGGGGGCGGTTGCGCTCGGTCGCCGCCCCGCCGTTCCAGCCGTCTGCCCAGCTGCCCGGACCCCGCGGCGTTCAAGAGCTGCGGCAGTACGGGCGGCTGCGCTCGGTCGCCGCTCCGCCGCTCCAGCCGTCTGCGCGGCTGCCCGGAAGCCGCGGCGCACAGGAGCCGCGGCGGTACGGGCGGCTGCGCTTGGCTGCCCACCCCGCCGCGCGCAGCATTCAAGAGCCGTGGCGGGAGGGACGACGCTCTACCGCCCATCTCGCTGCGCAAAATGCCCGCTGCCCCGCGCCGATCCCCGCGGCCACTACTGCCGCGCCAGCTCGGGGCGGCGGCACTCGCCCATGGACCTCCGCCCGCCCGCCTCCAGCGACGATAACGCCCGCGGCAGGACGGGAGCGGCGGCGCTCATACGGCCATCAGGCCGGGCTATCCGCCAGCCGTCCCGTCCAGCCCCCGGCAGTACGGCGGGCGGCGGAGCTCGGCCCGTCTCACCACGCGCCGGTCAGCAGCCTGCGGCCGCCCCACTGGAAACCGCGGCGCCAATGGCCGCGGCGGTACAGTGTGTGACGGCGGCCGGGCCGGTCGACCTGACGGCCCCGCCGGCTCTGCACGGGCTGGGATACAGCCGAACCACCTGTCGACAGCCGCCCGATCCAGCCAACTAGCGGCCCGGGTATCCGCGGCAGCATATGGTCGGGCGGCAGCTTCAGGTGCCGGCCGTGCAGAGGCGCCACATGACAGCTCCCGGGGGTCGACGCCCTCCACCGGTGGCGTACCCAGCTGGCGGCAGCGTGACAGGCGGCGGGCACGGCGCACCACCCGCGCACATGAACCGCCGCCGTCGCCGCCGCCACCGCCACCTGGTGGCGCGACCCCGGGACGCCTGGCGGGAGCCGTCCAACTCTGAGGCGGGCTTGGCAGAAGGAGACGGTCGCAACGACACCTAGCGGCGCGCGAGCACGCACCCTACAAGCGGGGGCACCGACTGCCGCCCAAGAAGCCCCGGATTGCGGCGGTGGTGCTGAGATAGAGTGCGGTCGCCCAGGGAGGCGGCCGCCCACCAAGGTGTCCACCGTCCGCGAACACCGGCTATGGGCGGTAGCGTGCGCTACCGGCTGAGCATCGCGCGCGTGTGCTACCAGTCCAGGCGACCTCCAACCAAGGACCAGTTCATGGCGAGGGGTCGAGGGCCAGAAGAGCGAGGCGATACGGGCGAGCGTGGGAAGGAAGAGCTGGCAACGGATCGGTGCTGCGAAAAATGCGGGCAGCAGGAGAAGGGCTTGGCAGGAGGGTGGCAGGCGGAATGAACAATGGGGCGATGAGCGGGAGCGTGGGCAGGGCGACCGTGCATGTAAGGCGTGGGGCGGGTGTCTGTAGAATGTATGTAAGATGTCTGTAGAATGTATGTAGGATGTCTGTAGAATGTATGTCGCATGTGTTGTGTAGCCTGTAGGTATAATGATTGTCAAGCGCGAATGAGATAGTGGAAAGGTTCTCACCCGGGGGAGTAAGGGGACCCTTTTTCACCGTCCGTGGGAGGGAGAATTATTATGTAAGGGCAAAATTGAGCGCGTCAGAGAGTGTGTGGAGCGGCGGGCCGGAGAACCAGAGTGCGCGTTAGGCCAGTCCGCCGTATGTTTGCCTCCGGCGGGAAAGGCGTGCCCGCCGGGTGAAAGGCAGCGGCTGGCCGGCACCTGGGACTCGCGGGCCCGTCTCTCGTGGCATTTGCCAGTGCGGTGTCGTCGGGGCAACACCTTTCGGTAAGCGAACTTTTCCCTCCCCCCCTAAATTAATGCCGCAGCGCCCAGGCGCTGCGGAAGTCCCCGACAAATGTCCTGGATTTCATTTGGCTTTCCGACCCGCCGCAAATAGCGGTGGGCACTGCCGTTTATATCCAGGACAGTCTCACCTAAATTATATTCGTCGGCGCGGCGCGTAGCGTGAATGAGTGTGCGTTTGGAGGTGTGATATGGGTAGTGTGCGTGAGCGTAAGTGTGTGAACCATAAATGCCCCTGGTCTAACGATACGAAAATACAGCGTAATGGAATGTGAGCAAAATATTTCATTGGGGGAATGGCAGATGCCGGGCTGATACACGGTGAACGTGAACGAACAATCATACGGGCCGCTTAGTTTAATACACCCGGGTGGCAGGCGGGCATTGTAGAGTAACTTTGGTTAACGTAATGTCTGTACATGGGGGGAACCAATAAAAGGTTGCAGGTATATCCAGGACAGTCTCACCTAAATTATATTCGTCGGCGCGGCGCGTAGCGTGAATGAGTGTGCGTTTGGAGGTGTGATATGGGTAGTGTGCGTGAGCGTAAGTGTGTGAACCATAAATGCCCCTGGTCTAACGATACGAAAATACAGCGTAATGGAATGTGAGCAAAATATTTCATTGGGGGAATGGCAGATGCCGGGCTGATACACGGTGAACGTGAACGAACAATCATACGGGCCGCTTAGTTTAATACACCCGGGTGGCAGGCGGGCATTGTAGAGTAACTTTGGTTAACGTAATGTCTGTACATGGGGGGAACCAATAAAAGGTTGCAGGTTCCGATGCATGAAACCCCTACACTATTAGTACTTTTTATTCTGCACTAAGTGTGCAAATTATGCAACGAAATTGTACCAAATTTAGTCACATGCTAGCTTGATTCATTTAGAAAGCACATGCAATTTATCGTTTATGTATGGCTGTTCACTTTTATGTGAAAGACAAACCATAGCAAAATTTTCGGGGTAAGTTGAAAATTGTAGGATAACCGGTACCTAAGCTGACGGATGATGTCGGGTAGCATGTCACACTTTCTTTTTCGCGGTCTCTTGATAATGTTAACGATAATTAACCATCTTATCGCAACCGATCGTCTAAGTCTCACTCTCCCTTGTGGTAAACACTAAACATGTTTTCCTTCTAGAACAATATCTAAAGCACAACCCCTTGCTGCACTTCACAGGCGTGAAAAGGCTCATCTACCATGGCTCAACCTCTTGGTACATTTATCTTTCCTGGAACGCTAGAGGCACCATGCATTGCCGAACTAACGTACTAGGGTCGGCGTTTGTGCATGAAATTCACGCCGAGGTTAAATGGTGCACGCTATATGTAAGCATGCTTGGGCGGTCATGTTTCAACATAGGTACCCGGCTCTGCGGTGGCCGACTGTCACACGGTTGAACTCAAATGTTTGGAAACATGAGAGAAGGCTAGCGCTTTTCACTTGACAATCCTCCAAAAGAAAATAACGTTTAATATTGTGAACATACTCGTACATTCAGCTTTCTAGCACGAATAGTGTTGCCGAAAGTCATCCCAAAGTATTGACCAACAAAAAATTATTTTGCAGTTATGAATTATCCCCAGTGCTCCTACATAGCGACTTAACCCTCGCCCATATAGGGGGGGTCGAACGGACCCCCCCCTCAGTTTTTGGCGAATAACTCGCGTAAAAAGCGGCCGATCGCGACGAAACTTTCAGTACCCTCGAGTTGATCGATTTTACACCTACCCTGAAAATTTCATGACCCTGACCCAAATGACCTTTGACCTGTGACCTACTTTTCGAGACAATGTTTGGCCGGAATCGCGGTTCGGCGTATGTCGGCTCGCATTAGCGGCGCGTTTGCAGTCTTTTCGTGGTTTCAAGCGTTCAAACATCTGAAATGATGTTGGTCCCATGCGTTAGGGTGGGTGTCAAGGTCACCTGAAGGTCAGGTCAGGTCATTGACCTTTGATTACCTCGGCTCACTTTTTCGAGTTTTACATGTTTCTCGGCCTGTTTTTTTTGGAGCTGAATTCGAATTAAACAACCATATGAACGTTTACGAAGTAGTTTTGGTGCCTTCGTAACATGTTACTAAGCTGTCAGAGGCGGTTGACACCTACTACGAATACCCGGCAGGACCCCTACTGGTTGACCTGACCTGACCTGACCTGACCCGACCTGACCTAAATGCATGAAGACATCATCTGTGATCAAAACTAACATGATATTTGTGATCAGCACCCCGAAAACCCTCATAGCAGCCACACCTTACGACATTCTAACAGGTCCCGATTTTCCCGACTTTTGGGTCATTGACCTGACCTGCAAGGTCAACCAATGGCCTAGGACCTTAAAATTGGGTATCTTTGGCTTCCTCTCGTCACGGGCAACACGCTCGTTTTTTTCCGCGAAGCTCTAGCTCGATCAGGGGCGAAACGGCAAGGGGGGGTCCAACGGGACCCCCCCCCCCCCTTATACGTTCGCGGCTGGAAAAACACCAATACGGGCGAGGGTTAACCTACCTATACCTACCGCTGTAACAGACCCCTGTGCCTACCCCTGTAACTACCCAAGCGATACCCCCGTAACAGACAGCCCTACTCTCCCTTACTCACTTTTTCTTGAAGTGAGATCGCTTGACCTGACCTGGTGACCTGATCTTGAATGATGAGTCTGAATCTCTCCAAACGCATAATGCGTAAAAATTGAAGTCGAAGGTCATTTAATGCCATGGGATAAATTAAATTCGGTGAGTCAGGAGACGGAGAGGTCACCATGAACTTCTCAAGGGCTGGCGAATCAAGTGATATGGAGGTAACACGACCATTTTTGGTCAACTTTCTAACCTGACTGGATTTTATCTTACTTTGACCCGAGATTTTCAATTAGAGGCGAATTGCAGACGTGAACGTCTTTCCTCTCGATACCTATGCAGAAAACCTCTTGGCCGGTGGACGGTGGTTACCCATCCTCATTCTAAATCAGTGATTACTGATAGGTCCCTGTTTGGAGTAATCGTTCACCTCACCAGACAACCGGGGGACAGTGGAGCTCCAACAGTAAAGATCCCTCCGAGTAGACCAATTTGAGCGCCTTGGCGACCTTCTGAGCGGCTACTTGGCGAGTTGAGCGGCTGGGCGATCGTTTGAGCAATTGGGTAACCCATCCCACCAAAAAGTTCGAGTCTTGCGACTACTGACGAATCTCAACGGGACAGCAAACATGAAACAGCCTTCAGGCCCTTGAGCTGCACGATATCGTCCGAGTGCGTCATGCATCATGAGAATTGAGAACATCCCGTCAGTGTTGATGCTGATATGACAATATCGAGTGCCGTTGAACTGAGCCGCATTATTGTGATAAGAGATAAATAAATATAGTTGATTTGCACAGATCACAACTCAGAGTTCGAACACAAAGTGGTATCATAACAGTCAATACTGGCTGCTGACTTAGCCTAACTAAGCCTGAAGGTTGAGCTGAGTCAGCTCTTAAATCGGTAAAAAATAAAACCGAACATTAGCTATGTTTTCAATATGGTCGATAATCGATGCCCACCTATTGCAAATGATACCTCACTTTTACAAGCACTGCTAAAATGACAACGGGCAAAATGCCAAAACGTCACACCAACCACTGTCCACTATCCTGAACGATCGCCGTAGTTGCTAAAATGCTAGATGTGATGCAAGCGGAATGTGGATTCTGATGACACTTGTTTGCAAACTTTCGAACGCCTTTTACCTCTTCTTGTCGCTAGATGACCCAGGGGCAGAGTTAACCCTCCCCCACCTCGTTGCGTTATGCTCTATCGGCAGCAATCCGCAGCTCAGTGTTATGTCGCCAATTGTAAAAACAAAGACAATGCACGATCAGGGATAGGACCTTCTGTCTTTCTACCCCATGTCTCATCCAGAGACTGAAGAAACAATACCGACTGATAGCAACCTACTTTGTCAACAAATTAATAGCGCGCTAATGTGCAAAACATTGCCGATTACAGAAGTGTGTCATGATGAGAACTAATCTGCGATAAAACCTTATCGCATGTCGCATATCTGATGTCTTATAAAACGGTAGCGAAGAAAACAAAGCATCAGACAAAGCCCTCTTAGAAATGACACAGTATGGGATTTTGTTATTCAACAAAGAAAAAGCTGAGATGATGCGAGTAATATCTCCTCGAACACTTATGCCTATGTAGTCGGCGGTTTGCCTAGCTTACCTCGCTATTTTGCTTGTATTATGCCTAGCAGCCCACATGTCTTATTTACCGGGATTCGGGATGCGCATATGGCATATTCTAACTAATGTTGATTGGTGACCTAACCGTTTTATCTTTTTATGTGCATTGCAATTATACCTACCTATGCTAAGCATTTAGCATTATTGAAGCAGGAATTGAATATTCGCCAAATTCAGGGTCATATACAGAACAAAAAATCACGTGATTTCTTTCAGGGTGTCATCGCGTCCGCTGATTGGTCGCCTCGCCGGCTGACCCGGTCAAGGTCGGCGGTGCACGGCCAGGTCACGTGATCACAATGCCGTCACAACTGCGACTGCGATGGAGCAAGTTCGGTCTCACCCACCACCGACCGGCCAGCTTCGGAACAGCCCAGGTAACCACCGTGAATAGCGTGAGCGTGTTAAATCACCGCCTATTTGTTTATAAATGCATGGGGGTATTTCGTAAATGGAGTGGGGTGAACTGTAAAAAGGACGTTTTTTATTGTTTTTAATTTCACGGGACATCGTCCATCGAAATATGAGTGAAAATTGTGTTAGGTAGGTATAGGTAAGTGTGTGTACCTATACCTACTTGAAGGATCTGTCTCAAAAATGCGACAGAGTTCTATGATTCTACATATGTAGGTTTACTGCTTCAAAGCTTGCCCTGAATAATGGTTAGATATCTGGGTTAGACTGTCATTCACTGATTGGGCCGTGGTGCTCACAATCCCAGCAGCAACCTGAACATCTGCCCTCCCCACCCGTCTAACCACAAATCTCCCCCACAGTGGCAGAAACGTGAGACGGTCAGCGTCCCGTACCTCCTCTACCGTCTTCTGGTCTTCTGCTTCTTCTGGGGCTTCTTCGTGGCTCTGATCGTGACGTCGACGCCCGACGTCAGGCCCTACCTCATGATCTACCTCACCGTGTGGACGTACATGACGGCCATGCTGGATGTGGCGCTTCAGCTGGCGGCCTCCTGTACCGTGGCCTTCAGACATCACTACGGTAGTAGAAAGGGAGTCACTAGGGTCGTTATAATTAGCGGTAGTAATCAGAATCTGAAGTGCCGTCAGTTTTGGTTTTATTTTTTAAACCTTTTTTCAACAATGAGCCGAGTAGTTATGAACTTCAAAACATCGGTTAATGAAATGCACGTCCCGGATGGTCAGGACTTTGTATTAGGACTATTGTGCTTACGCAGCGTGTGAATGGGATCAATCACTTCTTGTTACGGATAGGTAACCATCTGTGGTTATGATTTTATTAATAAACTAGAGGGACAGCATTACGCGCAGCGTAAAGAGGGACAGCATTACGTGCAGCGTAAAGAGGGACAGCATTACGTGCAGCGTAATAAATCAATTTTCATTAAAATCGGCCCAGTAGCGGCCGAGTTATGGCCAGAATAAATTTGGCGTCTCCTCCTGGCCGGCGGTGCCCTGTTCCGGTATTCATTGCCAAAGGTCAGTGACCTTCCGGCTCTGATTTTGCTCAGTTTTCGCAGCGAACAATCTGAGCCTACGGCGCGTGCCGTCTGCTCGAAACCGGCCGCGGCCCAAAATCCCACAAAGATGCGCCCGCCACGTGCAAACCACCGAACCCACCCCCTCCAAAATTTAATACAACAAACAGATGCACGCGTCCGACTAAAGTCGAAAATTTCACCCCCGTAGCCCGCACTGTTCCGGAGCAATAGCCCGCCAAGCGTGACTGACGCGTTACATACATACATACATACATACGTACAGACGTTTTGATTTTTATATATGTAACTAGATGGACAGCATTACGCGCAGCGTAAAGAGGGACAGCATTACGCGCAGCGTAATAAACTAAGTTTCATAAAAATCGGCCCAGTAGCGGCCGAGTTATGGCCAGAATAAATTTAGCGTCTCCTCCTGGCCGGCGGTGCTCTGTTCCGGTATTCATTGCCAAAGGTCAGTGACCTGCCGGCTCTGATTTCCCTCAGTTTTGCAGCGAAGAAACTGAGCCTAAGGCGCGTGCCGTCTGCTCGGCGCCGGCCGCGGCCCAAAATCCCGCAAAGATGCGCCCGCCACGTGCAAACCGGCGAGTGCACCCCCACCAAAATTTAATACGACAAACAGATGCACGCGTCCGACTTATGTCCAAAATTCCACCCCCGTAGCCCGCACCGTTCCGGAGCAATAGCCCGCCAAGCGTGACTGACGCGTTACATACATACATACATACATACATACATACGTACAGACGTTTTGATTTTTATATATGGGACTAGGTGTCCAGCGTTACGCGCAGCGTAATATATCAGTTTTCATTAAAATCGGCCCAGAAGCGGCCGAGTTATTGCCAGAATAAATTTGGCGTCTCCTCCTGGCCGGCGGTGCTCTGTTCCGGTATTCATTGCCAAAGGTCAGTGACCTGCCGGCTCTGATTTCCCTCAGTTTTGCAGCGAACAATCTGAGCCTAGGGCGCGTGCTCTCTGATCGGCGCCGGCCGCGGCCCAAAATCCCGCAAAGATGCGCCCGCCACGTGCAAACCGCCGAGCGCACCCCCTCCAAAATTTAATACAACAAACAGATGCACGTGTCCGACTTGCGCCCAAAATTTCACCCCCGTAGCCCGCACCGTTCCAGAGCAATAGCCCGCCAAGCGTGACTGACGCGTTACATACATACATACATACATACATACATACGTACAGACGTTTTGATTTTTATATATGTAATATACGATAAACCGTTCTAGGGGTGTGCCATAGACCCCTTTAAACAGGGGTCTGTTTAAAGGGGTCTATGGGTGTGCCAATTTTTTATCGATCTATGAGTGACTCAGCTGTTTGTGTGCTTTAGGAATAAAGCCCGTTTGTCCACCGCTGCTGTACAAGACCCACTGGGTGATTGTGAATATTTCCCACACAATGGAGCCGTTCGTCACTATTCTCTACTGGTCTACTGTGTTTCCCCAGCTCAGCGGTAGGTGGCACCACTGTCGTCGCTTGGTTCCTTGTCTCATGTATGTGTGAACTTTGATTCAGATGGTAACTTTGCACTCGTAAACTGGGGTGACCTTATTCACAGATTTCTCACTCATTGTGTAAAAAGTTTGTCGTTCGTTGTGTGCACACATATTCGTCACTGATAGCCAAGTGAAAATGTTGAAGTCTGAGTGGCATTCCTCGATGAACGGTTGGAACGGTAATTGAACGAAATAAGTCCTTTTTCTCACGTGTTTTGGATGGAAGCGATAGAACGATCGATTTTTACAATTAAATTCGGAAACTTTTTATTACTCGGATTATTCGCCATGACTGAGAATTGAATTGCTCAATATCTCTAAAAACATTTACCTAATGGCAAACTTCTATGTCACTTATTATTTCACGGTCGTTCTGCTCTTAATAATATTAGATTAATAATTCACCGTTAATGAATGAATCAGACTGCAGGTAAAAACGTTTTTCCACCGACTTATTTGACGCTCTTTCTCTCTCTCTCTCCTCCCACAGTCGCCGTCAACTACACCGATCTCCACCTTCACCTGTTCACAACCATCTACGCCATCATGGACTTGCTAATCCACGGCAGTCCTCGGCGCTACCATCACGTTCTCTACCCGCTCAGCTTCGCCTTGACCTACCTCTTCTTCACCATCATCTACTACTTTTGTGGAGGAGTTGGACCCGACGGCAGCACTGCCATCTACCCCATCCTGGACTGGGCGAAGCCGGGTCTGACGATAGGGGTAGCGGTTGGTGCGGTGTTGGTGATTTTTATCCTTCATGGTGTTACGTGGGGGTTGGTGAAGTTGCGACAGAAGATGCATGGAAGGTGGCATGGGGATAAGAGTGCAGAGGTGGTGATGGTTGAGAGTCCCGAGGTAACGCAAGATGGAGGAGAGAATGGAAACGGGATGAAGAGAGATGAGAGTGGAGAAGGAGTGGGAAAGGAAGAGGATAGTGGGAAGGGTGGTACGGATAGGACGGAGGGCGTCTTAGAGCAGGAAGAGGGTAACGTCCAGACGAGGGAAAATGATGCTGAGAAGGGACAGAGCGATGACGTGAAGAAGGCGAGAGAGGGCTTCGAGAACACAGGATGTGACGTTGACAACGAATAAGAAGAGAAGGGAACGAAAAAGAGAAGAAGAGAAGGTTAACGTTTTGCTCACAATGAGTCAGGTGGCGCTGTTTGAAAAGACAAAGACCTCGTTATTTGTGAAGCTCAGGAACTAAGAACAGGTGGCTTCGAGGATGAATTATTTAAACCTAAGCGACTCTTTGACCTTAGATTGTTGAGTGGCAGTCTGCAGGCCTACATTAGGTAATCAAAATATGGAACAGAAAGCCAAGTATGATGCTTCATCAAAGGCACACTGCCTCCGTTTGTATAGTAAGTGTTTTACGTCTATTCACCTTTATGACATGTCGTTTATATTATGACGTGTCAGGATTATTGGAATACTTTGGTGAAGTGATGACGTTGTGATCATTAGAATTTACATTGTGAACTTGGTTCGAATACTGGCAATTGTAATCGTATTCTCATAGGCGACGTATGTGTATGTCATAGCCAGCAGGTGACTTTCTTACGATAATTTTGTACACATGGGGCGGCTATTTAGCTACAGGCCACTTCCATACGGATGTTGTGTTTGCATGAGCTTGCATTGCATATTCCTTGGAGTTTTATCTTTCATCTAGGGAGTGTGACAACGTGTTTGGATATTTATATGTACGCTATAGTAGACATCGTTATATTCCGAGCTAGGTCCGAAACTGTATTTAGTTTAGTTAAGCCACTGTTTGTCTGTTTTGTCTGCAATCTACCTCACACAGTGCGACATTGAGGGACACATTGTCTATACAATTTCTGAATGTGTAGGTATGTAAGATATATCGTGTATGCCTCATGGGGATTTTCGTTATAATGCAATACATGACATTTAAGCGTTGTGTGGTTTTGAAACGGCTTCGTTCTGTGAGTCATAGCTTATCGACGGCGTTGACATGTCTTGTATAAAGACTAGATGTTGAGGCAGTGATTGTCGATATAAGGTTACATAAAGTGCAGTTTTTACATATCTTGACCAAAGTCATTTCTGTTATTAACAAATGTCAATTAAACACTCAAAATTGAGTTTGGGTATACCTGAGGATGACGTGAGATACAAGAAGAACCAAACGAGTCGGTCGAATGATGCTATAATTCTCGTGATCGTATTCTGTAACAGACGCAGTGACGACGAAAAAATAAACTTTGACTAAGGGTCGGTGAAATGAATGCAAGATAATGCTAGCACAGCAAATCAAACCTACCCTAAGCAATGGATGCATTGCACGATGAGCACTCATGTTCGATACGATAACACGCCCCCCCCCCACCCCCGCCCCCACCACCTCCCTCCATGGGAAAGCCGAGGGCGCCAGCACTTCAACATCGAGTTCAACATCGAGTGCCTCTGCCTATCCTATCACGCCTTCCACAATGCCGCCCTCTTTACCCATCCCCACCCCGTGCTACAAAGCGCTGTTGGTTAAGCTGATTGTTACCACCTTATCAGTTCGAACGTATGTGTACATTTACAAGAGTCTTAGTAACGATAGCACGACCACGGCAAACGTCATGCGGCTACGGCCGATCATGCTAGAGGTGCAAACTCAATGTTTATTCCACTCCAATAAGGAAAGGTTTATGAGGCATGTAGGCCATTTTACCCACTTAATGTGACAGTGGCAACTAATTTCGGTACAAAACGGCCCACTTTGCAGGACAGTCTAGATAAAAACACATGATAAAGCCTGTGTTACGTTATCAAGTGGGCCGTCGCATGGCGCAAAAGCCGCATCACTAGCATGAATAGAAGTGATAAAATCGATGCGTGGGTCGCCAGTGCCCGGGGCAGGCCACAGTGGGGCCGCATCGGTGGCAGAGGTAGGTGGCCAGGAGGGTGGCAAAGAAGGAGTGGGAAGAAGCGAGGAAAAGGAATAAGTGGAGACAGGGAGGGGCGAGTGAATGGTAATTGAGTATGGTTGAATAGAACGCGTCGAATGTGGTCCTCGGCATGCATGATATGATCAGGAACTATGCAATAAGTGGCTTACTCAGACCGGTAAATTCCATATGTCATTTTTTATTCCTTATGACCAACCCATCATTATTCCTAGCCCTTGATTACCCTTCCCAGTTCTAACAAGGTCACCCCGTACCTATGTAGTCGACCGGGGAAGGGTAACTCCAGTAGGAACACCATGCTATTTCTGTGGGGTGACCGTTTTAGCGGCTGGGTGACCTGTCCCACCAGGAAAATCCCGCCCCAATGGCATGGGTTTATCCGCTGCGTCGCACCAGTCGGTGGTCGACTCAGCCCCTAATGTCTTCCCTCTTGACATCCCATTGATCATGGTTTTGAGACAGTCTCAATGGACCAAGAAAGCTTCTCCCAAAAAAAATGTTACAGTTTCATCGTGTATTTAATCTGCAGAGTGACGTCATCGTGAAAAAGTGACGTCACCAGACGCGATGCGGTGTCGCTGGGAGCTGAAATGGCACAAATTCGGTCTGAGTCACCACCGACCGGCCTCCTTCGGAACTGCGCAGGTAAGGGAGAACATACCTATAAATAGTCACACTATGATCGTTCATTATATCGTTTAGGCGCGGCGGCATCGAGAAATGATCGAGAAAAAGAAATAACCGAGAAATCTTATGTTTCTGTATATAAAAGATCTAATGGTTGTCTGCCTCTTCGCCTATGCTTTCAAATAAAAGCACATAAATGAAACCATAAGCCACCTTCATTCGATTCTGCGCAGTACTTACCTTCGAATGTAAACACAAAGGGCATTTCAGCCCTTCAGATGATGGCACAGCCGATTCTGCACGCACCGTTAAGTGTTTGTGATTCACCCCGTCCCTGGCTCCTCGTTTACAGTGGCAGGATCCGGACAAAATCAGCATCGGCTATGTCATCTACCGCTTCGTCATATTCATCTACTTCTGGAGTTTCTTCATCTACGATCTGCTGAGTGACTATGACACCATTCAGATTAGTTATTATATGATTTATCTAACAAACTGGACGTATCTATCAGCCATTGTGGACATCGCGGTACAGTTTCTCTCTGCTCTGACTGCAGCCTTCAGAAGCCGGAACGGTGAGTGAGAGAACATGCATCCGTAGAGAGCGCCAGAGTTTTTAGTAATCAATCAATATTGGCAAACAGCTAAAGCGATACGAATGCACTCACTAGCTACTTTTATAATTGTTATATAATTGTGTTGCGTTCTCTGTGACAGATAGGCAGCTTAATCCAGCATGATTATGGGCTTGAAATGGCACCAAAATAACTGCGCCACATAGCAATCAATGATATTGCACTGCTATAAGCTTTACAGCAGTCTTATCGTAGCAATACCTGAGCAGCATCTGTTTGCCAAATAACTAAATCAGAGATAATACAAGCTAGAGAGAGCCAAACTTTGGAGTGCAGCCGGAATGATCTGCTAACTGCTTCAGTGCGAGGGTATGCGCCCACACCCAAAAATTGTGGTAAGCGGAGATGCGAACGAAAGGGAAGCAACAGAACACCCTAATGTTCAAAATGTGTTTCGTTCAACTGATCGTCTGACCGGTTGTGACCCGTTTTCTCCAGGTATAAAGCCACTGGTTCCCCACTGGCTGTACAAGACACACTGGGTGATAGTGAACATCTCCCACACGATAGCACCGCTGGTCACAATCATGTACTGGGGAGGAGTCTTCCCCTTCCTCGACTGTAAGTACATTCTGCGATTTAATCAATCTTATAATTGGTCGTCGAAGAGTTGTAGGCATACTTATCTTGCCATTGTCACAACTTCGTTGGAGAGTGTGGCGTGCTAGCAATTCAGCTGAGGATTAACAGATACCTGCACATTACGGATGTTTCCCTTCATATCCCGGCAGTTGCTGGGGTATTTCGCCACCCACCGTTTGCTGGGGGGGGGCGTTAAACGCCCCCAGCCGATAACTCGAGAACCAATAGGCGCAGCGAAACGCACGAGGCGGCAAACGAAAGAACGCGACGAGACGCTTCAGATGAGTACTTTGAAGTTGAATTTTGAGGTCACAGATCGGGTCAAGGTCAGGTCAAACACCTGAAATCGGGCTTTCAGTAGCATGGACTTCAGGACTTCGCAATGGGCGCCTCTCATCATAAACTCTGTCAAAACGGTGCACAATCCATCATATAAGGCCTACAAGAGTGTCAGCTCCATGTAGGGGTCAGTCCAGCATAGGTCAGGGTCAAGGTCAGGTCAACCGGGTAGGCACATATCCCCGAAAATCAAAACTGATATTCGCAGCCTGTGACACATGTTTTATGGGTAATTTGGGGCGTAGAACACGATGGTGACATTTATTTTATCATATGTGTACGCGTTTGGCTCAAAAAGTTAAATTTAAGAAATGCATGTATCATGTCGTGAGGTAGTCACGAGAAATTGCCAAGATTCAGTTCAAGATTTTGGAAAATGCGGAGCGATAATCAATAATCGAAGATAGCCATTTGATTGTTCATGGTATTGGCAGTTAAATGGCGTTTACGGCATGTCTGTATGTCTATTCTGTGATTTTATATGGTTTTTAGAACATATGCCGTTTTTGGTCGAAAACTCAGAAATCATGACGTCACTAAAACCTCGATATCTAAAAAAATTTCCGACCGATTTTTTTGAAACTTTGTCACAATAAACTTTAGTAAGCTCCCTACAGGTCCTTAAAATTTATGGCCCGGCGAAAAAAGTGGGGGCGTTTAACGCCCCCCCCCCAGCAACTCGCGGGATATAGCATAAACGATGGTAATGTGACTTTCTATGTTACCGATGATTTCAAATTAATCATATCTCATGTTAAATGCATAATGTATTGATAAGGCTCGGGCCCTACTAAGGTTATATAAAACAAACGCCATCATGATCGCTATAACCCACCCCTCCCCCTGCTCCCCCTCTATCAGATCCGGTGACGTACGCCGACCTGCACCTGCACCTGCTGACCACGCTCTACACTATGGCCGACCTCTTCATCCACGGCACCCCCCGGCGCTACCACCACGTCGTCTACCCGCTGGCCTTCGGCATCACCTACCTCCTCTTCAGCATCATCTACTACCTCTGCGGGGGCGTGGACGGCAGCGGCAACACCGGGATATATCCCATCCTGGACTGGGCTAAGCCGGGACTATCGACAGGAACAGCCGTGGCGGCGTTGTTGTTGGTCCTAGGACTTCACGCAGCTACATGGGGTGCGGTAAAGTTGAGGCTGAAGCTACATGGAAAGTGGAGAGGAAAGAAGGTGACTGTTGAGGCAGGATTTGATGCCAATGGTGGAGAAGGCGGTGGAGGATCAGCTGAGGGTTCTTCCGGAGCGGTGACGAGTTCTGGTGACGTCACAAGTTCTGGTGACGTCACAAACGGCGAGCGGGACGCATACATCAGTGTGGATATAGGAGACTCTTCAGGGCGAGCGGGGCAGAGTGAGAACCAGAAGGGTGAACAGGATGCTGGCAAGGGTAAGGCGTTTGATAATGCTGGACTAGAGGTGGAGGATGATGGTGCTGTGAATTCACCAAAGAGTGGAGACAGGACTCAAATAGTGTAACCAGGGTTTGGTAAGGGTCATGCAGGCTTCAACCGAGTATATATTCCCATAAATGTCTCAGTTTAAGTGAGATGTAGCTACCATGAGCTACTTATGCGAGACTTACAAGAAATGACTGGTGATGATTTATAAGGAATGACGCAATATGAGGAATAATCCAGGGTATTTAATGCGAAGGCCCCATGCAAGGTCTTCGCTTACAGGGTGCTCCAACGATGTATCGGGATGATGATAGTCACTGGCTTACTCAGAAAGATGTAATGGGCAAATAGTCAGCCAAAAAGCGTTATTACAGACTTATCTCTTTAAAAATGTTTGAGAGTAACAAATTATCTTGACTTAAGTATTCCTTCGGTCAGGAATCGTCATAGTGATTGGATTAGGGAAATTTTCATTTGCCAAATTATGTAACAATGAATGCGACTGTTAATTGAGCGATTGTTATTTTACGATAATCCTTAGCTGCAGCCTTTTCCGCAATACCTATTCATCAAACACCAAACATACCACCACTCTCCGTTGGTCGATTTGATGCCGGTTGTATAATACCAACTGGTATTATACACACTGGTGTGTGAACTGAGTGGAAGGTTTCCACTCGCTGTTATATCATCGCCTCAAGTCGTGGACATGACTTGTCGCATTGTCTTCGATCCCGCGCGAGTGTCATTGAACAACTGTGATACCTATTTCTGATTGACGCATGTGACTTTATCACAAGCCATCTTATGACGGGATCATTGTCGCCATCTCCTTCTTATCAGGGGCTGAAGTGGTCGCCAACCGCCGAAATTTGACAGATTTACGCCCCTAAAAGGTCACGATAGTCGTCAGGTAGAACCAGGGTGTGCCCTGATAATGTGGAAAGTGTACAAGAACTGTAACCGTGCCTCAGTTTTGTTCCTAAGCGCTGCGATGACTTGGTGTTCCTATCTTGTTGTGAACTGTCTGGTGCAAGTGGTTGCTGATGTTATGTTTGAAGATAACTACATATTCAAATTTCAAAATGTGATTTACTATGAATATAACTTATAAATATGTCGCGGAGCGCACATCCGTATAATGATAAGGGAAGAGCAAAAAGGTTATGAAATAGTTTCTTCGCTCTGGTGTCCATTCTTTCTCATCGTTCACTTTTGCCAGTATCTGTTTCTGCCGAATAATTGTCGTTTTCAAATGATATTTGATATTGCATCAATGAATATACGCCCATTACGCTTAGTCTTAATCCCATAACATTATGGATTTTCGCTTTGATCTACATAACATGGCAAATAGGACGCTAATGTAGGATAATTATGCTTGCGAAGATGAACAATAAACATGCTATCAGTCTAATCATTCTATCAGTCCAATTATGCTATCAGTCTATTCCCACGCAAACAAGAAATAACAAAAATATCAATTATGAAACTTTCTTATGGGCAACTGCTAAAATTAGAACTACGCAGGGCTCCCATTTCGCTTCGTCCTGTCTTTTGAATCTTTCTAGGAGCAAAGAGCTGGTGGCTGGAGCTAAAACAGAGTTAACCCGGCAGTTGCTGGGGTATTTCGCCACCCACCGTTTGCTGGGGGGGGGGGGCGTTAAACGCCCCCAGCCGATAACTCGAGAACCAATAGGCGCAGCGAAACGAACGAGGCGGCAAACGAAAGAAAGCGACGAGACGCTTCAGATGCGTACTTTAAAGTTGAATTTTGAGGTCACAGGTCGGGTCAAGGTCAGGTCAAACACCTGAAATCGGGCTTTCAGTAGCATGGACTTCAGGACTTCGCAATGGGCGCCTCTCGTCAGAAACTCTGTCAAAACGGTCAACATCCATCATATAAGGCCTACAAGCAGGCATCGGTAAAATCCTTTTTGAAAGGATTGCATTCCCAATCCACATTCCTAGTGCCGTAGTGGATTGCATTCCTACCCGCAATCCCCTTTTATCACTTGGATTGTGATCAAATCCGCAATCCTTTTTTGCAATCCTGTTGTATTATTATGTGCACTAGTGGGTGGATCTGGGGGGGGAGGGGGGCATAGGGCCGTGCCTCCATCCCCAAATCACCCATTTTTAGTACCTAGTCTTGCGAGTAATTTCTATCTAAGGCGCAGGTATTTTATGGGAAATATTTTTTGCCTCAGACACCCCCACATTTGAACCTCTACCCAACCAGTGTTTTATATTTTTAAAACTCGCCCTCAAATACCTAATTTTGCCCTTCCTATGTAGTTCATCAGCGTATATTATTTTGAGCGTTTAAATTAAAAGCGTTTAAATTATTTCAAGTTTCGATGTAAAGCCCTTGATAGCAAAGTACATTAAGCCGATGAAGCCGATCTCATAATTTTCAATCGTAACAAACCATTTCAAAGCACTAATCAAACACAATCCGGATTGGATTGCAAAAATTGGAAGTATGGTGCAATCCAATCCGCAATCAAATCCTGTTTTTTGGAATGGATTTCAAATCCAGGTGCAATCCACCAAAAAGGAATGCAATCAGGATTTTGCAATCCTGCAATCACAATCCTACCGATGCCTGCCTACAAGAGTGTCAGTTTCATGTAGGGGTCAGTCAAGCATAGGTCAGGGTCAAGGTCAGGTCAACCGGGTAGGCACTGTAGCGCGGAAGGCTGATAGAAAAGTGGAGAAAAGTGGAAAAGTGAAGTTGAAGTGTGAAATTCTAGTTAGAAATGAAGAAAACCGCCACCTTTCGTCAGTACTCCCTCGATAGACGGTCAAAGAGGAAAATGAAAAGATATAATAGAGGAAGAACAAAGATAGAGAAAAGATAGAAAGTGATGAAAGTCCTCCCTTGCAGACAATATTGCATCGGGTGATAGTCGATGCTTTATGTTATTTGAGGCTGGTCATTCTGGTACATTGAATCGGCTTCGCTAGGTTGAATGACAATGTTAATCTTAAATTGGATTCCCTCGGGTTTCATTTCGAAGGGTCACACCGACTGAGTTCGTCGCAACTCCCACTGGCCCTTAATCTAAGAATCATGTCTCATTCATACGTGCTTCAGTTTCTCTAGCAGATTCTCGCGTATCCCTTGTCGTTCTTTTGCGACGCCCCCAAAATCTCCCTCCAGTGGTGCCGGTGACCAAACGAGAGATTGACCCCCAGGTAGGATAAATGTCCATAAAAAACATACATTCTCACTAACAGGGTCTTAAGTGTCGTCTTCTGTCTGCACGTCTTATTTCGACCGAGAGTAGGGGCCGTAGCGTAGTGTCGTGAGGTAGTGACGTCGGTAGGTTTGTCAGTAGGTGGAAAGGTGGATTGAGTTGGAGTTGCAGGGTAAGCAAACGAAGTATTGAGAGGTATGTAGGTAGTTCGGATAATTTTGGTGGTCAAGGTAGTTGAGCCCCTGTAAAAGCTAGTGAGGCCGGTAAGTCGTAGCCAGCGGGGTACGCAGCGTTAAGTCCTCGGAGTCGACGGGCTCCCCCGTAAAAGTTAGGCCGAGATGTGGTGACGTCGAGTGACGTGGTACAGGGTATGTTGTTGTGTTAGTGGTAACTCGGCAGGCCGACGGGCCCTAAATTGAGGCAGGCCCGAGATGGGACAGCATGGTAGCCTCCGGTGAGTTTTTATTTAGCTTCTTTGTTAGATGGCGGATAGCAGACAGAAGACGACACTTAAGACCCTGTTAGCGTGAATGTATAATGCAGTTTATGGACATTTATCCCGCCTGGGGGTCAATCTTTCACTTGGTCACCGGCACTACTGGAGGGTATTTTGGGGGCGTCACAGCTAAAGTACGGGGAGAAAGCAAGTATTGGTATCAGGAGTGAAAGGGTGAGAGATGATGGATGAATCCTAGGATAAGGTCCAGTAGGAGTTGTGACGAACTCAGCCGGAACGATTATTTGAAATGACACTTGAGGGCATCAGGAATTTAAGCATTAAAATATCATTCAACCTCACAAAGCCGATTCAATGTACCAGAATGACCAGCCTCAAATAACATAAAGCATCGACTATCACCCGATGCAATATTGTCTGCAAGGGAGGACTTTCACCACTTTCTATCTTTTCACTTTCTTTTGTTCTTCCTCTATTATTTCTTCATATTTTCTTCTTGACCGTCTATCGAGGGAGTACTGACGAAAGGTGGCGGTTTTCTTCATTTCTAACTACAATTTCACACTTCAACTTCACTTTTCCACTTTCCCCACTTTTTTATCAGCCTTCCGCGCTACAGCACATATCCCCGAAAATCAAAACTGTTATTCGCAGCCTATGACACATGTTTTATGGGTAATTTGGGCCGTAAAACACGATGGTGACATTCATTTTATCATATGTGTACGTGTTTGGCTCAAAAAGTTCAATTTAAGAAATTCATGTATCATGGTCGTGAAGTAGTCACGAGAAATTGTCAAGGTTCAGTTCAAGATTTTGGAAAATGCGGAACGATAATCAATAATCGAAGGTAGCCATTTGATTGTTCATGGGATTGGCATTCTAATGGCGTTTACGGCATGTCTGTATGTCTATTCTGTGATTTTATATGATTTTTCGAACATATGCCGTTTTTGGTCGAAAACTCAGAAATCATGACGTCACTAAAACCTCAAAATCTCAAAAATTTTCCGACCGATTTTTTTGAAACTTTGTCACAATAAACTTCAATCAATTCCCTACAGGTACCCAAAATTTGGCGCGCCTGCGGCGCGCCATTTTTATGCTATGGCCCAGCGAAAAAAGTGGGGGCGTTTAACGCCCCCCCCCCCAGCAACTCGCGGGTTAAATGTCATCTGATTCGTTCTATCAAACATAAAAGTCAAAGTCTATAGTAAAATAGCTTTATATTTATCGTGGCATTATCTAAGAAATAGTAGTGCAGCATCCAAAGCTGCATTTTGCCTCTCAAACGACCATCGGTGCCCCAACATAGTGCACGTGTCCGATAAGCTTTAATTACTTTTAGCTTCAAGGGTGCACTTGATGCATCTGAAGATCCTTCTAAATCTGACGCTCACCCGGTATCACGATAAAACCCTTACGTTAGAAAGCCAAACCTGCTTGCTCGATCTATCGGAAGTTACCAGCCAGTTTTACTCTTGTACCGTTATAAAGTGTCACTCCGATATTATCAGGAGTGTCTATAAACGTGAACACCGGACACAATACATATGCCACCAGCCATACAGTCCTGCCTGTGCGTGCCTAGTAGGTGTGTTAGGCATGCCTAGGGTGAAGCTGAATCAACTGCATTAGGTAGTCAGTCATTCGACAGGGTGCTGGAATATTAGTATACCGTAGTTTCGTGCAGCTTTGGCCCACTTTTTTCGTGGGCCAAAGCTGAATTATTGAGAACCATACAAAACAGAATGAAGGGTTCTCAATAATTCAATCATCTGTTTATGTACAATTTTAAGCAACAGGACCTATAGACGCGACCCTTGACTTTTCGAAAATGACAAAATCGTGTGCTGCAACACTGCATACAAAATTTTTTCTTTGAAAATGCAAGTGGCCAATGTTGTATAATGTATGTTAGTATGGCAACTTTGGCCCAGCAAAGATATTCATGAAGAATTTATGGATTTTTGCTTTTTTTTGCTCACTTTTGCCGAGCGTATGACAGCATTAGCTACCTTAGCGAGTTTTTAACCCGCGCCCTGCTGGGGGAGGGGGTGTTTGAACACCCCCCCCCCCGTGGTTTTTCGCGAAGCCGTTTTTGGTACAGCCCACCGCTAAAGTAATGTAGGGTTTTACCAATCTCAACGGTTGGCTTTGACTGGCGATTGTTTAATGCGGAGTGATCGAAAAGAAGATGTCAATAGCTAAAGTTGCAGCTGCAAGGGTGACGATACATATAAGCTACATTCAAAGTTGCATTGTAGTCTGGCTAATCGTTCCTAAGCTTCAGAAGCAGAACATACCCATGACTGAAACCCCACATTACTTCTGCTGTGGACTGTACACCTTATCATACATCAATTCTACACATGTTGTGAAAATTTCAGACCAAGGTCATCGTTTGTTTATGTATTGTGCCTCCGCCCCTGTCTGTCGTTCAGTGTCCGTGATATCTATGTAAGCATAGTGTAGCCTTGTTCATGATGTCTAGAGCTGTAGAACTGTAGTTATACTTTAAAAAGTAGCAGGTACTTGTTGGCACGATTAACGTTTCGGGAAGGATCTTAACAACTCAAAAGCACGATGTAGGGGGGGAAGGGGTATGGCAATAGCGGCACGCTGACGCCTGTTATGTCCACTGTCCATATCGCTACTGCCCTACTATTCGTGGCATGCACGCATTTCTACATACAGCTCCCGATTTCAAAATGGGGAATTTATCTTTTATACGACACTTAAAAGCCAATAAAACAGTGCTTTATTAAGTGATAGCAAGTATGCAATTAGCCTAAAATTAGCCTAGCGTCTAAAAAGATGTTGGCGTTGATAAATTCACTCACGCACCGTCGCTATTACGAAAATAATAACAAGTATAAATTCACTATCGATACGTGAGCTGGCACAGTTTGTCGTTCGCTCCCCGAGCCCGAGTGGCGACCCATTCCCCCTCCACCCCCTCCCCTCCCCTCGGCCCGACCGCCGCGCTGTTCACCGCCTAGCAACAGCGGGTCAGTTCCGGGTCAGGCTACCTCCCAGGGGCACCGGTCAGCGCGGTGGGTCAGCCATTGGGTCAGCCTATCCCCCAGGGGCAGCCTGACAGCTAAAGGTTCTCCTACCCTGCTGACGTAGCATGTTGTGCTGATGTGATGTGAGTGTGCGTTGACCTTGATAGAGGTCACTTCAACCGACCCCGGGTCAGCTATCAGCTAGCTAACCGACCCCGGCGAGATGGTGCCCCCGGACACAGACGGGCGGCCAGCCCAGCCAATGCGATGCTGGCAGCCGGGAGTACGAATGGCCGACGATCCACAGCAGTTTGCACGGTTCGACATGACAAATACGGTTACAGCGAGGCACATTCCTAAATCACAGACGGATCCAGTGGGATAAGACGTTAGTCGGAGCTTGTGGGTTTTGGGAAGTTATGCGTAAGTTACTAAATCTGTGAAATTCTACCTTATTGTGATCATCTTAAAATTGGCAGTCTTCCCGAATGTTAAGTTGAAGATATGCAACGAAAATACTTTGCATTCATGCCCCTATCGTTTTAGTTTCCGTGGATACAATGTATTTAAATCTCGATTAAAACCAAAACAGATCAAGATGTTCAAGATGTTCAGCCGCTGAAGAATTGAAAATGGACGTAAATTCGTCCGTGACAGATATTTCTCACAAACACGCATCGCATCATTTTCTGCAAGCAATTTCAAAAGTAACAGAAAGCAAAACCCGCCTGGATCCGCCGTGAGGGACGCCGGTGAAAACAGGGCGCCGGAGGGCATATTAGTCACGTGCCATTTGGAACTTCTCCCGCTCCATGGGCCTTCTATATGCCAAACGTCACGTGTAAATTTCACGAACCTTGATCAAATCGCCCCAGGCGCCCTGTTTTCACCGTCGTCCGCCGTGAGCCACACAAAACAACACACGATAGAAAATGAAATCACCGCTCCAGTCTGGAACTGAAACGGACTGACCATTCCGGATCCGAAGCGCCAGTTCCCTCGTAGAATATTCCAGAGACGAGCCGCGTGTCGACTCCCGTCCTGCGTCCAATCCCCTCCTTCTCACCCATCATCATCATAGCTCACCACAGCTCACTCTTATAACTCACACTCACTCTCCCAACTCATTCAGCTCACTCAATGACAGATCGATAACTCACCGCTTGGTCTAGCAAACGTCAGTCCGAACACGTGAAGTCGAAAATCCGCGCAAAAATATCACTTATTGCTGTCCGCCGTCCCGTTCTGTGATGTTCCAGTTTCCACTTTCCACAACCACACAAAACACATTCCACTCACGAAATAGCACCAATGGGCACCAAAACTCGAAACCTGTCATGACCTGACCGCGACACCTCACTCACACCATTCCAGTCACAACTGGGTCGAGTTTCCTGCCCGCAGCTCCCACGTGCTTGGCTCGCCAGCTGATTGCCGAGGCACTGCGTGAGCGCGTATATTGAAATACCGTAAAAATGATCCAGTGAAAAATGTCAAAAATGGTTAGATAGGATTTAGTAAGGTTAGGCCAGCCGAAAGGTCAGGCTTGGTTGTTCTATTTTTAGGACCTTGCTCTTTTCATGCTTTATTAAAGGGACCCTCCCACCTTAACATTAGATTTGAGTTGAGATAGCCAAAATGGGGTCCCTGACTCACAATTACCGGTTTCGGCACTCACAACATCGAGAAATGCCTTAAATCGGAAATATTGAATTTCAAAATTGCAGCATTTTGATTCAGAGGGGCTAATGCATAGGAATACCCCTCTGAATGTGTGACGTCAGCGCAGATATCTAATGACGATTTTTAAATGTTTGACTAAAACGTTTTGTAGCACGCGGTGGTATATGCTGCTTTGCGCGCAACAAGTGCCGCACTTTCAGCTGCCAAACTATTGCTTCCAAATAAAGTCGCTAGGAACAGCGGAGATTCCAAAAAGTAAACAAAAGTAAAAGTCTAATATCTTGAAAACCGGTGAATATTTTTCGGTGAAATTTGGTAGATATTCGTTTTCGCTCTTTCTGAACCGAGCGACATCACTTTCATGCCAATTCATAAACTTTTTTGAAGGTGGGAGGGTCCCTTTAATCAAGTATGAAGTAGCCGAGGGGATAATGTATGGATAGCTTTGCCCCGCTGGAATCACTGAATGGTGTACGGGCCGGATCCCTTTCACTGCCATAGCGCTAGCAGGAATCATTAAGATGACAGGGTACCTCCCCACTGTCACTGTCAGAATGTCACCTGTCAACATATGGTTTTTTACATCAGTTCCATATTTCTTTGCACAATGCACACAAAACTTCTTCAACAGGCTTTCGAATAATGGCAGGACAATCAAGTCTGTGTGCTCTCATTTAGCCAAAAGTCGCTTTAAATTTGCCACTTTTGTGAACATTTCTAAATATATTATTGCTTGAACTTTCACAGCTGTCAATCCTTTCCATCATACATAGTACACATACCCACCAGCCGATAATTTGCAGGCAAAGGGAAAAGACGGACTCGCAACTCCCAAGTCGCAAGAGAAATCGACTATCTTCGCGCTTATACTTTTTATGCAGAGCATCATGCCTCTTACCTCGAAAAAACAAGCGATAGAGACAACAGGAACGAAACAAAATTCTTAACATTTCGTAAAATGTGAATTCGTCAACTGTAAAATGTTATTTCGTTGACAGCGATCTAAATCACCAAAAAATAGGATCTAACAAAACAGCCTTACAAGTTATAAGTGCTGAAGTTATTACCTTCATGACGACAGTTCTCGCATAACATGTTGACATGTTATAGTAGGTATAGTGAAAACAGCTCGTCTATTTAATGCTAGAAATGTTTTGGTATGATTATAAAATATCTGACAGCATCCATCCCGTCACCGTTAAAAACCGGTAAATGCCGTTCAAAAAGACAGGTAAGTAATTCGCTTGTATCACACCAGCGCCACCAGAATTTGTTAATGTGTTGGTCACTAAGTTCTGAGGGTGACCGGTATGAATGCCTCACTCCCCCTACAGTTCTAGAAAAGAACATTTCATGTCAGGCAGCTTTCGCAAAATTGTTCGGAAGTTTAAGTTTTTTTTGTATACAAACAATTTGTACCTACTATCTACTTTTCTGCGCATTGTACCTAAAGTCAATTTTCGAACTGAAGAATGAATGTTTCCGAAATATTTTCACTCATTTGGGCTAATTTTGGACTGTTTGAAGATAGTGAGCATACGGTTAATCAAAGACGATATTTGTTTTTTTTTTTAATAGAAAAACACAATGCTGACGAAAAGTGTTTTATTCAATGAACACAGACCGCCGGTTGCAAAGCACATCTCGGCACGAAAACGTGGCCGGTACAGGGGCGTCACTTTCCGAAAATTATTGGTACGGCTGTTTATTAATTTCAGGATACCAAGGTAATCCTCACCATGCCATGTCATTGCGCTCATGTTTAAATGCAGAAAATGTCGATAGGCCTCCATCCCTATACCTATATGGCCTTGCCTCCATCCCTACAGACCCATATACATAAAACGAGACAGACAGTCGGTGTGTCTTCCACTGCCGTTCTGGGGAGAAGCCCCATCGGCCGCGTCAGGCATGTGCGCGTTATGTGTTACTTGGTGGGCGATATTTAATTTACAACATTTGGCGAATGTCAATGAAGGTATCGATAAAAAATCGATTGTATTGACTGTTCTAGAGGGCAAAAAGACATATATTTACCGTTAAACATTTACTTCATATCAATAGAAATTTGACGTGGCGCCATCAAGAGCGACATGCTCACTTCATTATACAGGGTGTTTCACAATAAACGTTACTTTTGATAAGCTTTTAAAATGACCTCAGCTATTCGTATGCCCATAAATTCCAGATTCATTTTGTTGCAAATTCTTTCGGGTTTTTTATCCTTACAAAAACTATGACGAATCATCAACTGCATTCTTTATGTACGTGCAATGTCCACACCATCAAAACAGGTCAATTCGCTGTTAAGCTTCAGGGTCCTTCACAATGAATGTTGCTTTTCAAACGACGATGTTTCAGTGGCATGTATTACAATATGGCTAATGAGTATTACCTCATGAGACAGCAGAACAGTAGGACTGATGAACATAAAACTTTCAGTTCAGCACCCTTCACGGGTTCTCCACTATGCCACCCTTCCGTCTGACTTTTTCAACCAGATTCTCTGGGATCGCCGTCCGGCCAGGAGTCGGGGCTGGTCTCGTGTTTCCAGTCTTCTGGAACCTTTCTACTACCCGTTTGAAAGACATTTTTGACGGAATATCCTTCCTCCTTTTAAATGGCTACCGAAACTCCGTCGCACTGCGGTCAGACTCCGCAAAGCGCCGTAATGCATGACCACCCATACCGCCTCATCATCTGTACACGGCGAATTGACCCGTTTTGACGGTGTTGGCATTGCACGTCCATACTGATGGAACCGTTGACGGTTTGTAAAAAAAAAAAAATGTAAGGACTAAAAACCGCTACAAATTTGTAGCAAAATGCATATAAAATTTACGCGCTTACGAACAAGTAAGATCTTCATTTAAGCTATTCAAAAGTAACATTTATTGTGAAACACCCTGTATCATTCCAACATCATCAAACGACAGCTGAAGCGACAAGCATTTTCAGCAGGCTTTAAAGACAACAGCTAAGCCATTATTATTTGTGGGAGTCTCCTTTGTGCGCAAGCTCAGTCTGCATGTTGAACCCTGGACTGGAAGAAACTTGGATCCGATGCCCCATCGGCTCCGTTGTCCGCCGGTCGACTGAACGGTGCCTGCGAGTTTTGCTAGCACTGCAGTCGTCTGGCTAAGTCTTGTCCCGCTATTTACGACCACCGCCAAGGTTCTGTGGACAGAACAAACCATAGTAGATTAAGTGAAAATGTCAGGTGACCTGTATTTCAGGGATTTCTAATGCAACTTTCTAGGCCTCGAAATATTTTCATCAAGATACTGGCGATGCTAAGCTATCAAAATTTGTGCCAAAACTGAATGAAAATGACTAAATGAGCAATCATAGTCCTTCTGCCCACCACCAGTCACTGACCGGGGTTGTAGTTCCCGGGGTCTCCGTGCTTGTACAGCCAGCCACCACGTCATCCCAGCTCTCGCTGTCATCACAATCAGAATCCTGTCCCTGAGAATGACCGCCGACAACCGTCACCTGCAGCAGCAGACAAGCCGCCAGCATCACCATCAGCAGCGTGGACAGCTTCATCTTCGACCGGTTCGACGTCGCAGAGATCGTGACGTTGAAGGAGGCGTACTTGAAGGGATATTGATGCCGACTGGAGACTCAGTGCTGAAGAGGTGGTGTATGTACACCTACTGGCTGACACCTGGTAGTACAATGACGGCCCGTCAGCGATGCAGTTTGCCTGGTGGTCTCATCTGTCCCCTCGGCAGTAGGCCCCTCTGTGACGTCACAAAGGGTGCAGCTGATCTGCGCGCTGATTGGCTGTGACATTGAACTGATTCACTCGGGGTATTGTGATGTGGCGACATTTGTGAGCCACAGAGGCCCTCTATAGAGGACATCGAGGACATCGATACCAGCAACAGGTGATAAACACAAACCATACATATAGGCAAAAGAGCGACATCAGCGACAGGGGTGCAAAGTCGGAGTCGGACGAACTCGACAGGCCTGCCCGGAGTAGGAATTTGTTTTTGGAAGCCGGAGACGGAGTCGAAGTCACCGAATATCCACTCCACAGCACTGATCAATGGTATCCTCACTATACCTTATTACCATCTGATCTATTGTACCCTTTTTGACCGTCCATTTTAGTGGTAGCCTTATCACCATTATTTATTCGTGAAAGGTAAAGATATCATGTCAATAATGCATCGATTCCCGCCATTTGCTTCGAAAACTTTTGGCTTTCAAAATCATTCAACTCTGTCATTCATAATTCGCAGGCGCCTAGCTGTTGTCTGGCTAAATCGATTGTGCAATCACCCCACATCATCCCCTCTCTCGCTAAAACAGTAGCTCCATTGCGATTCAGGGATGTTCCCACTCCCCAGTTGCGCCGCAAAAACAACGCAACTGAAAACGTAGCTTGACGCATCACAGTTCGCAAATAAACCGTAAACATCATTCAGCCATTTATCGATACAGTTTGAATATGGACTCGTGTGACTGTGCTATGTAAGTGAGTTTCCGGCCCAAGTCCGCTAATAAAAGCTGCTATAAAAGGCAGGTAAAAAACATCCGCTGGCTGGCTCTCGGCACGATGATGGGTTGTGAAAGGAGAGTGGCAAACACAGTTGTGAAGGGAGAGCGGCAAACAGGAACTGATGAAAAGCTGCACATCGGGAGGTAAGCCAAAAGCATGCGATGTCACATCAACATTGCAACAATTCAATGCAGCGTGCGCCGTGCTAATGACGAGACGAGAGTGAGCGTGCGGAAAAAGAGCGAAGAGAAAGAGTGTGGAGAGAAAGACCGTGAGAGAAAGGACGTGGGGATATAGAGTGAATGCGGAGCCCGGCTGCTGTTCAGGGGCGAAAAAGTGATGACAACGTAATTTGACCAATTTGACCAAACGTGTAGTATTTTCTCTCGGATATCTCTTTCTGAAATGGTGAGCCTGTAGTGCGCCTATTTCGGGAATGAGCCACAATATCAATGCATGATCACATGATTATCCGTATAATCATACAGAGCTGCATGTAGTAATTAGATCATCGATATGAAGTTTAACACCGTGGAGAAACGCAATCATTAGGCGTATACCTAGTTTATTCAATTACCGCTACAGCCCTCAAAATTCAATAAATCTGTATCATATATGACATGTAAATCCAGTTCACTGCTCCTTGATAATCTTCCACAAACAAATTGTACCATCCTCGGCAAAAATACGTCACGTCAAAAATTCACATACAGAGTACGCCACTTTCATCCCAGCCACAATTGCATTGTTTAATCCAGTGATCGACTGCTGGTACGATGCGTCGTTATTTTCTTGCTGCCGATCGCATCCCAGTGACGTCACGACGGCCTCCATATTACGTCATTGGGGCCGAAATGTTGATGATCCCTGAAGGAGCACAAAGAAAAGGTTAGTGGCACAGCAACGGAATGTTGCGGATTATTTTAATAATTGCTGTGTCAGCATTTCGATGAGCAGGTTATCAGGAGCGGATAGAATGATTCAAAAGACCACTTTGCTCACAAATGTATGGGAACGCGTGCGATGCATTACTACGCAGTTATTGTACGATTAGAAGCTTACAACTTACGTGAATATTGCAGCTTATCGACGCATTATTGCATGCACAAAAATATAGACCGGTTAGGTCAACCATGCATTGTATCGCAATTGCCATTTGGCAAAGATAGATGATATTGCGATAATAATTGTAAACCTGAACATCTGACTGCTCATGTGACCCTTCATCTAACATCCAGCGTTGGACCGGCCCGACTGTTTCTGAAATTATCTCATCCCGCATTTCCCGACTCTCACACTCACCCGCCCTGGCGAAAGTCCGTCGCCCTCCTACTTCTTGTACTGGTAGAATCCCTCGCCGGTCTTGCGGCCCAGCTTGCCCTCGGACACCAGCTTGTTGAGCAGCGGGCTTGGAGCGAACAGAGGGTTCTCAGGGTAGGACTCGTGCCAGCCTGGGGGAAAGGGGAGGGAGGATAATGTAAGAAATCACGGTAGATGGACACTAAGAACGCAGAGGTCTGATTCGCGTGAAAATTTTGCTTAAATATTTGTGTTATACCCGATGTATATATTACGTGGATACCTGACTGTTCAGCTGAACAAGACATGACTGAAGTACACATCAATTCAGTGGCATGTCTGACGCATTACGTAACCTGTAACGTGCACATTTTATATCACGTTTTCAAGTCAAGTGCAGCTTTGCTATCGTTTTACGACGAGCAATCACATCACGTAAGATAAAAAGAGCAAGCAGTGACTGTCACACGAAGTTTCCATGCACAAGTTCCTTTCTAAATTATTCCTATTCTGTTCCTCATTCCTATTCTGTCCCAATCCGGCGACATGCCAACGTTACACAACGAATAGTGTTTTGTCAATAAAACAACAACCTGCGGTCACACGTCCCCGCCGCCCCGTCGACTGTCGCGCCACCTACCGTCGATGATGAACTTGGTGGTGTCGAGACCGACGTAATCCGCCAGCTCGAACGGACCCATGGGGTAGGAGGCGCCCAGCTTCATGGCCGTGTCGATGTCACGCGCCGTGGCGTCACCTGGAGATAAACCGAGGGAGCGGGGGAGGGGGTAGAATGAGTGGGTACGCTAGGAGACGATTGTCGAATATATATCAACTATAGCAAGGAGACGTCAAAAAGATTAATCATCAAGAGGCATGGGCTCCGAGCAACAGGGGTGAAGGTCAGGGTCCACGTCCTTTGTATCAATGCTAGTCGGACGGCACAGAGGAAGGACCTACTATTAATTAGCTCGCACATCCAATTCATCGGGTCTTGGCGTAGGACATGTCAGAATGGCGACCCTTTTAGGATGAAAAAAAAGATGAGCATTGAGCACCTAACATGCCGCTGGAGATTTATGTACGGTGAAAAAGCAGCACGTACCACCTGTCAAATAACCTGATTCGCATAATCTCTCAACACCTCCCTCTCTAACTCCTAACCAACCGAATTATCACAACTCACACCCCACCACCAACCTCTTCCTCAACCTCCTAGCAAAGTATCGTCACTTATCGTACCCCACCAGCCACCGGGCCACTACCTCACCTCGCTCCAGCATGCGGATAGCCTCCAGCAGATTGGGCACGAGGAGCCGGTTCACCACAAAACCAGGCGTATCCTTGCACCGAACGGTGGTTTTTCCCATTGCGGCACCAAACTCGAGCATCCGGTTGAAGGTCTCCTCTGAGGTTTGCTGGATTGAAATCACCTGGGGGAGGTATGTGGGGTTAAGTGTGAGGTGTCGTCGCGGGTCTGTGTGGTTTGGGTCCTAACCAGTTACAGTACTACATGCAAGGAATATATCACACATTGAAGGTAGATAGAGCTCAACAGAATGTTCAAATTTGTATGCCCTACATCATGCACACACCGCTACCGTATTTGTTCAGCTAATTTTTGCTTGGTTCAGTATAACTTTCAGCAATAATAACATATTCAAAAACAATATCCACAAACGAAATAAAACTTCAGCTAATTTGCTGTTTGCTGTCACTCCCCTTTCCCTCATTTTTTTTCATGCCATGCCTCTGTTAGTTCGCAGAATGTAGCTTCCTCGGCTGATGCTCTCGTTTCGGGTAGACACGTACCACACCAGTCGGATCGTACCACTCACCTCCAGCAGTTTCATGACTGGCACCGGATTGAAGAAGTGCAGACCACCAAACCGGTCTTTGCGCGAGGTCGGCTCTGCGATCTGGGTGATCGGGATCGAGGACGTGTTGGACGTGAAGATGGTCTTCTGCGGCGCGACCTGCGGATGTGAAAGACGTGAGATATCCTGTTAGTGCTTGGAATTGGATATACAGACTCTTTTTACAGAATGCTATGTTAAATACAGTAAGAGCGAGCCAGCAAAAAAATGACGAGAATGCGATAACTCATAGAATATGAGGTGATTTGATTTCGCGAGCCGTCAACGCTTACCGTCAATAACACTTATAACGTTCTGTCGCACAACTACGATAGATGAAACCAATTGGTTGACATCATTTCACGAAGTTTATCAGTAGATAGGGTCATCGGTTACGTTTACGTGTTTTTCCATTTTCGTGTTTTATTTTAAAGCCCATACTTGTCGGACTTGTGAGTTGTGTAACGGCACGGACACCGGTTGATAGAGATTAACAACATATCGATCGATACCGACCACTACTTAAATGCAAGAGCTGCACGTTAGGCACGAAGTACCCAGCTCCGACTGAGAAAAAATTAGCGCAAACACACAATCGGACAAGGCTTTGTTTCCATATCCTCGTCAAGGGCCATTACTCCCAAATGTATCCAAAGGTGCGAAGTTCGCCGCCGTCAAACGCCAGCGATAAACAAAGGGGCGTCATTGACACAAAACACGCTCGACGTGCCCCTGGATGGGTACAGAATGTGCACAGTCATACGCGCCACCGTCGCCCGGTTCAAGGCCACAAGGCCTGCTGCCGGGACTCTGCTATTCTCTGCTGGAATTACTCCACTTGAAACCGCACTAATCAATATGGGGAAAAAGCTGAACGAGAAACAGGGATTGACGGAAAACGAAAAAAAACGGTATTTCAGACACTATTTGGATTTGGACCTATGGGAATTCAATTTTTAACCTTTCTTTCCTTTCATTTTTCTGGTTTCATTTTTCTGG